TTTTTAGTGATAACAGACATCTTACATGAATTGGAAATTTCCAGCTGGAAAACTAATTGAATTGGTTTTTTTTTAATTATTTGCTGTTGTTTACATGCTGCTGTTAATTATATTCTTGTTTGTTCGTATGTATCCAGGGCTTGCTCCACCTGTCACACCACTGCTGATTAGTGTTGGCTTTTTTGTTTAATGGAATGGTAGTAGTTCAGCCATATTATTTTTTGCAAGAAGTATGGTAGCGATGACAATTTATTATTATTATTATTAACACTGCTTTACATCTTGAATCGTCTAGACAGCATGACCAAGTTTTATCTTCAAAACCAGAAACATTGTAAGTGGCCCTTAGTACATGGAAAATGCAGACCCAAACATAAACGGGAATACAAAGCGTTTTTGAATGTTTTACAAACTAATAATTCGTTTAATTAATTAGTGTTGATTCCTGCACTAAGAAATACACTGATGATATCTTAATAATCTACTTCAAATTAAAGTAGAATTTCAATATACTTTATTTAATAGAAATCAGTTGTCCACTAGTAACGAGCAGCAACATGACAATATCACAGTAAGATGAAACAAATGTATCAAAGAAGGGATATATTTGACAAGATTTTCTTATTCGAAAGTTCTTGTAACAGGAAATTCACTGTAATCAATAAATAAATAAATTTATTAAACTTTGTATGCTGCAGCTAAACAGAACCGGCAAAATCTTATGTATTCATGTTAAAGTGTGACCTCTCCAGTGTTTTTTTTTAGTTTCTTGCTTTATTCACGTATGTGAACATAAACATGTGTATATAATCATATCCACTGAACCCCTTTCTACTTACTATGTAGAAATACATTCTCTCTTTGTCTGCGGTCAGACGTAAATCTCATTTTCCCATTTGATTCTGGTGTGAAAGTGAAAGGCATTTAGCACAAAAGAAAACTCTGGGGAATAATATTTAATCAGGGTAAAACATGTAGATGGTTTATGTACTTTTTAAAATCAAGTCGTTTTTGTAAAAAAGATCTTTTATAATAGAATGAGTCTGGTTTATTTTTAAAAATATTCTGCGTTAAGCTGGATGTCTTGTTGCATTATATCTTTTGTGTTCCTTTTCATCTATTAAAGACATTTGTAACGAAGTTCACTGTTATTAGTATCTGAAACGTTTTAAATTTTAATTTATCAATAATGTAGTTACACCCTTGAAATAGTAATATAATTAAAGCATTTCTGTTGATTTTCCGTGACTGATCTAAGGATAAAACTTGGGCACTGTGGTGGAATATAGTTCCATTATGGATAAAATTTTATTTTGATAAAATCACACAGTGTTATACAGTGATATTTACTGATGTCCACTTTCCGAGCACAGTTTATTGCTCATAATCACATGAAGGTACTCACATAACTTTCTTACTTCGTTTATATACATGAATAAAAATTGATTGATTTTCCGTGACTGCTTTTTAATACTGAAATTTGTGTTTAGATGGTGCATATACCCATGTAGTGAGTGATGGTATACCACTGTAGAACTGGCAACAGGTAAGAGTAGCAGGAGTTATACTCTGCCACAGTGCCCAAGGATATCATCATTGCTATCTTAAGAATAACTTGGACTGTTAGTTTCATTGCCAATAACCAACAATGTCAGCTAAAAGTATTTTTTTCTCTTTCCATCGTACCTGTTTAATCGTAGAGGTAGGAAGTGTTTGCGTCTAAGTTCTCAGGGTTTACGTTTTTATACTTGGAGGTTTTCAAACCAGCTTGAAACAGGCATACCATGTATTCGAACTAGAAGAGGAAGCTTTCTCTATATGATGCATTTCGAAAACCACGCAGATTGATCTGGAAAGTGTTTTAAATACATCTCATTCACATTCCCAAGGTATGTCTCAGCCTTACTTAATTGGTGGCGACTGAGAATAAATATAGGTTTGCTTAACACTTAGTGGTTTTCTGCATTTATGTTGCCGTCAGCATATGTGACTGCTTGTCACAGAATAGGGAACAGTATTGCAGTTGTTTCCAATGTGCTAAGTAACTCACTTAAATTATTAATTCGACAACCTGTATTACCTGAGAAGAGGAAAATAATACACGATAGACTCCCTTTTCGTTAATATGTGATGTTCGTTGAAATAGGAATAAGCTAGGCAAAAACTGCCTAACACTAAGTCCATAAAGTGGTCAGTGGTTAGATTAGTCTATGTAATAAGATGTTTGACCTTCTTTGACATACTTATGTTGATCAGAAAAACAATTCACTGCATAGTTTAGATAATAGGCCTAAAAATGGACCATTTTGATGTAAAAGCATTCAATCTCTGTTTCCCTCTAGGTGTTAAGCGCCTACCGGGTTTTCTTTCACATATTGATATTTTGATTTCTTGTCTTTCCATTGAAACAATGAAATACATCTATTATTATGCCACGAAGATAAATGCGAATTCATCATTGAAAATCTTTTTTATTGTAAAATAAAATAGATTATACTGATGAATTAATATGCTAGGCTAGGCTTCATTTTACCAAGTTGTCTAGTAGATAACGCTTTGGCGTTTGAAACTATGGGCACTGGGTTCGAGCCTTGATAGGAACATGATCACTCATTGGGGAATGCAGGTACATCCACTACTAGCTGACGAGTCCCAAATAGGACGAAATGCACTCTATCTTGGATTCCACTGCTAGTCCACATCCACCGATTAGATTCAGTTTACCGTCTTTAAATCGACGTGTCTGGTTATTGACGACCATTTATGTAGAAAGACCAAAGTAGAACTATGCGTAAGAATACATCAGTTCAAGCTGCCACACTTTGAACCAACACTCAGGATAGGATGATTTTACGACGTGAAAATATTATGAGAGAAGAGATGATAATTTAGGAAATTGTGATTAACATCTTCAAAATTTCTAAAACGTTAAACAGTCTATACATCTAAATCATCATTTAAATGATTTCGAGACATTTTACCACGAGTCTTCGGCTATCAATTATTAGTCCAGACAGAAGCTGCAATGACTTCTGTGTTTTTGTTTGTGACCATCTTTAATTAACTCACTTCAGATAACATTATTTGTGCAGCAAAATGGATGACTCAGTGTGTGCAACACATCCTAGCTATCTCAATTAATAGAGCTTTACAACCTCATCGATCGACTTACCTTCCTTATCCAACATTCTGCTTTTGATTTCAACACTATTTACTCTGTAGTTTTATTTCAACGGAATTAATCCGTCGAAGACGAATACGACCAAGAATGTGTAATCTCTCTTCACACTTACTTTTGGCCGTCCTAGTTCACAGCCTTAGAATATAAGACAGGACGAATAGTTGTTCAATATACTTACCATTTAATTGATGGCCAAATTGTGGTGGTGTGATACAGACAATGGGATCCCATGGTATATTATTCTCACATATTCCCACAGTTCAATACTAAATTAGCAACAGAACACTATGTATATATATATATATATATATGTATTAAACATTATATTTCATGTCGTTTCATGTAAACAAAATAACAAGTTCAGTGATTAGTTAAAGTATATAAACTATATATATATATATATATATACATACAGCGGTTTGATCAGCTGAAAATATACACTGGCAAAAGGCCAAACGGAGGCTCAACATCTAACCTATTAAAGTTGAGGCAACTTCAAAAGCCTAAATCTTTGTAGTTTGTTCATGTCTAATGGAAATATATACCGCTTGTTTACTGCAGACCAACTAGTATTTGTCCTTGTAGAAAGGCAATTCCCTAATCAGCCCTACCACTGCATCTATAAATAAAGTATCAATATCAATAAAATAAACTATTTTGGATACATCTCGTGGAGAACGATGGCTTTTATTAACTGGATGATAATTCTGTACCATATTTTATAATTAATTTATGAATTATGTTTAACTTGTAGCACACAGTAAATGTTCTTCAGAGTTAATTTCTCATAGTTAACTATTTTGACACTAGAGACAATAATGGCAGTGAATGTTACACAGTCCTCCATCGGATTGTATGTGCTCCACAGGTTGGTATAGATTATTGGAAGTCAAATAAAGATACGAAATCAATGTATATGAAGGCATGTAGTGAAAACTAATAGTTGGTACTTATTTCACACTGAAGAAAGTATCTTTCGTCTAAAAATTTTTCATTAGTGTGTAGACGCTAACACCCGAGATTATTTTCAGTGAGTATTACCTGCAGATTGTTTCTTAACTTAGAGCAAGACACTACGGGATACCTGCACATAAACGCGTCATGTAGGTGAAATGTCATGCTTCATGATATTGGGTCGACTGGACCTGTTCACATTCAGCATTCGGGTTACAGGCTGTGAATAATGAAAAGTAAAAATATGTGGAACCATTACAATCTTACAACTTTCGAGAATTTTTTCATCTCTCTCTCTCTCTCTCTCGATTAAAAGTCTCACTAACTGTTCATTTGGAAAGGTGAGTACATAGAGTCAAATTTAACCCGTCATTTTAATTCATAATACACCTTGTATGAAAGCTAATTCACAAAATAGACTATGTATGATAAGGTCAAGGTCTGGAGTATGATTTTCAAGTCACTGTGCATAAAAGTGCAAATAATGTGATTTAATATTCGACTGTTTATTCATCTGACATCAGTCATTGGTAAGTTATAAAATTCTTGAATTTTTCATCCTTCCATCTGATACACATTAATGGATTCATCCACAGCACAAATATACTAATGCCTTGATTTGCTATTAGTCATCGGTGACACTGTTCTTCAACTGGCTAATTGAACAACATCACTCACTATGTGAGTTTGACTATCAAAAGCCATCAAGTGTAAGCCCAATAACTTTTTTAACTAGTAATTAACTGCATTCAACTGTTTTCGTTACCAGTTTTTAGTCAGTCAGCCTTCTGATATATTTTAATTTACTACTGACATGCAAACAAATAATGTTATCTTGCTTTATTTATTTATTTGCTTATTATAGAGTAAAGCAGTTGAAAAGTTTATTTCAATTCTCGATCAAGAGTTAGATTACTTATTTCACAATAGTAGTAATAATAGTAATAATAACAACAATAACAAGCATAGCAACAGCAATAATAATGGTTCTAGTGCAACACATCATCTACAAGAATTATTCAAACAAACATTAATGGAACTGGTCATTGTATTACAGTGTAGACAATTTATCAGAGATTTCGTCAAGTGTGAAGGGCACTGCAAACTTTTCCAACTTGTTGAAGCGATTGAGTAAGTCTTACGAATAAAACTGTATGCCGTATTGTTTTGACAATTAAGCATGCGATTAGTTTATAGTTTTAAACTTTTTATTGTATAAGGCAGGACTGTTATAGGTATACTCATCTGGAGATTATAGTTTCTTATTCACTGTGCTTTCAATGGCTGTGATATACTAGGCTGAGGCACTTCTCTGTCATGACCCTATGAAAGTCAATCAGTAGTCTTGACAGCAACATATATGGTGTGAGAATAGCTTAGTACATTGATATGTGCTGTACTACTGATACTTACACCATTATTGTAATCCCTGAAGGCAACGAATCTTAGCATCATGGACAGATAACTGATTTATTCAAAGACCTGAAATATCCGAAATTTATAGTAGAAGGAGTTATGCCTTTGAGCAAATAAGTCTTAAGCTTTTGTATTCTCATTAAAAGAAGTCTAAAGGTTGTGTTGCTATTCTCTAGGGAAGATTTATTTATCTCCTTTGTTCACCTAATTTTCATTTATTCTGAAGGCACTATTAATAATAATGTAAGAGTAGGATTTGGGCACTATAGTAGAATATATCTCCACACAGTATTAACAATTGGATGACGCTCTAAACAAAATTTATTGCTCATAGTATCACACAGTACAATGGGATAGGATAAAAATAGTATAAAGGAGTATGTTTATGTGTAGGGAGAGAATTTAATCATGGATTCTTCTTTGTTCACTGAATCAAAACTAAACACGTGCGATAGGAATGATGCAACACCTAGCCACAGTTTAGACTCAAGGATAGAGGCAGTCAGCGGGATGCTGAATAAAAATGCATTGTTCTTGCTGACACTAATGATCATGATTTAAATAATTTATCTTTCTTTCGGGCACACCATAAATATGGTAATGCTATTAACGGAAACTAGTGAATAGTTTGTTATGTTTTACTCATCAGTTGGCTATCAACTAACAAAGATATCAACTACCAAGACTGTTGAGTAATTCAATCATAACTCTATTCTTTATTTTAGCTTCTATATTAAAACATTCAAGAAATGTTAGCTGCTCACCCCCGTGTTGATATAGTCACTGAAATCAATTATCATTTTAATTCATTTCACTCACACTACTTTTGAATATAACAGTAGTTAAAGGTATTTATATACAATGTTTGAATGTCACGGCTTGGTGTTAACACCTCACTTTATACATTAGGAATCTTGCTTTCAGTGTGACATTCAAAGAATAACAGGGCGCATTTCCATTACTTCTTGGGATCACTTTCAGAGGAGTTTCTAGTAGTTCGATAACATGACATTATATATATAAGTGGTTGGATTCAAGTATTTATGGCAACTGTTTTATTCTTTCATATTACCCATAATCTAATAAGATTTTTTTACTGTATTATGGTATATACTACTGACTGATTGACCAGTAGTACATGGGAGTTAGATAGATGTGATCCAAAAACACCGAAGAGCCATTTCAGTCTATTAGGGCCGATATCGTCAGCTGTATGTCCTGTTTTAATTCAGCTCAGAAAGCCGGATCAGTTCAGATCATCCGAATTATGTCTCAGCTTAAAGCGCAAGTTTACAAATGGTGGATTTGATTCCAAGTTGAGTTTTGTTGCATAGAATAAACTTAAGTCTGCGTGTTTGGAAAAGTGTGCTAATCTCGAAGTCTTGTGTCGTAAAAGTATATGATTAGTATTTCTTGTAAAAAGCCTAATTTCGGCTTTATTTCTGTATGACAAGTTTTCATTACAAAATAAAATATAATACCAAAGAGTTGTGTATCCTTTTCATTGATCAGTATATGTTTTCGTAACGTCTCAAAGTTTGAGTTGTGAAACTGATGCCTAGTTACTTCTCAACTTTGAAATTCAGGCATAAAAGAATATCTCTTCGCCCGTAAAGCATCCTTCATTCCTTTAATTTGCTTTTGATTTCTTTTTACAACAGTAGATTGGATAGAGCATTTCACGATCAAATTTGGCCGCATCTCTTGTCATGTCTAGCTGAATTATCCAAGTATGCTATAACTAATCGGCTCAGCGCTAATAATGAAGATAATATGACTTATCCCATTACCTGTTATACAACAAGTGATAATTATAGGCCTTGTTCATCTGACGAAATGACTACTAAACAAAATAATGATAACGTTAATCCAGTACCGCTGAGAAGTATCAGTAATATTGTCAGTGGCAGTAACAGAGAAGAGTTTTTCAGCTGGCAGTTGGTGTCCGATCATTTTTTATTTGTAGTGAGTCGAATTTTTCTCTTTTTAAATGCTAAGTTTACTGTCATATGCTTGTTTCAATAAGTTTTACACCTATAAAATTAAAAAGTCTCACACGTATGTATTATTTTGTTCGCCATAATTTATACCAACAGACAAGTAAATAGGCAGTTATGTTATTCAGGGATTTAGATAAACAGAAAATGAGATGTGAGTAAAGATGGATTAAAAAAAAACAGTGCTTACATCTCTGAAGCAGCCAAGGTAAAGTGGTAAGTACTATATTAACTATGTCATATATCATCTAGCATCTTCAGATACTGATGACTTCTAAGCACCCTGAGTACTTCAAGTAAATAACCTTCGTTTTTCTACGTCACCCGAACAAAGAATCAATGACTACACATATTAATATCTTCTTGCGACTTCATTGTGTTGTAATGTGTCATTGTGTTAAAAAAAATGAATATGGGCTTCAAGATGGTTCGGGCTGGGAGAGGGATAAAAGCAATTATTCTATAAATTACCGTGATTGATTTTATGGCATATTCAGTCATTGTGATTCAATGACACTGGTTAGGAAATTCCTTGCATTAATCAAAATCAAACTGAGGATTTGGTAATTTATTGTTATGTCCTACTCCAGTCTAGACACTTGACATTGATCACACTGTGAATTCATTCGATTACCGTACAATGAACACTTTTCCGCACTGTCAAATATTTCCGAATATTCGGTGTTTTTAATCATCGGTTTTATGCCTTATAAGGGAAAAGTAAACTTGCTACATGGTATATTCAAGGAGTTGAGAAATACTTGAATTAGTTAGTCAGATAGTTATAGTGATATAACAGCCCTAGGACAGTTGAAAGCAATGGTCTATGAGATGCACTCAATAAATAAATAGTATTTACAATATTCTATCCGAGTAGAATTTAAGCCGTAATCAATGTCATTAGGAAAAAAGCAGTGGAATTATGCTAAACGTCTAACTGCATATGGTTAGGATCTTTGATTAGCTTGACTTTTGGAGCAATAACTAATCGTATTTTTGTTTCGAATCACTTCGCTTGGCTGCCTTATTTAGTCAACGTTATGATGTACATTCCAATCTTACACGTAAACTTTTACCAATCAACATCGAAGGTAGAAATTTGGAGGAAGTCGCCCCTTTAACTTATCTAGACAGCATCATTCAACCACAAGCATCACAGACGTGGATGTGAAATGCGGGATTGGAAAAGTAAGACAAACATTTATTAATCTGAAACCAATCTGGAAATCTACTGCACTTAGCATGACGATCGACACTAATATGAAGCCAGTGCTTCTTCATGGTCCAGAAAATTGGCGCGTTATGAAAAACTTTGTGAACAGGCCGCAGACTCATCAACAGCTTCTTTCGTTATACACTGAAGAGCAGATGACCAGAAAGGATTAGCAGCACGGAGCTCAGGGAACCAACTGACCAAGAATCTATAGCCTAGCAAATATGCAGATGGATTAGCCACACACTGAGGAGACCGTTGAATGTCATCATGCTCCAGGATGGCCCTTGAGTGGAACGGGAACGGGGAACGACGAGTTGGTTGTGAGTTCAATGGCAACATGTAGGAGATCGTCTGAGGAGCTGATGAAAACTTATATATAATATATATATATATACGTACCATTACTCATTCTTCATCTATGATCTGCGTTTGTTACAGTAGTAGACACACTTATTATGTTGCCATTGGTAATTTTTAGTAAACCATATTCGTTGGATAAATAAATTTCTAAGAATAAAAGAAGTAATAATAACAACTAGTAAGTAGTTTACAATAATGATAATGACGTATGCTTATCTTTCACTTTATTTTTGTCTTCTTAATGTTTTCTGTCCTTCAGATTATTGATCATTGTAGACGGGAGAACAATTTAGTTTGTTTAAAGCATGAGATGAAATTAATTTTAAAAATTATCACAGACTAGTAAGTCAATTTTGTTCCTCTGTTTATTTTTGTTCATTTGTCGCTGAGATAAATATTAATAACCTTCTGACATTTGTCCTTATTAAATGCTGGGCGCGCACGAAATTTGGAATTGGAAGATTTTAATTCTCAGTCGTTTGTATTGTTTTTACCTATCATTTGGAGTCTGGATTGTTTGGAGATTACTATCATTACCGCTGCTATTGTTTATTATTATTATTATTCAGTGGCAGAGAGTATAAATTAGGGTTAGATAAGTAAACTATCAGTAAATTGTCTTGCATACTCTGGTGTTTACCCAGTATTGCAAATAATAAAGTATGCAAAACGTGGAGCTTTTGTGGAAAGCACTAGTGTATATAAGTCTACTTTTGACCATTTCATTTATCATTATGATATCTATTGTCCAGGAGCAATTGTCAATTAGTTAAAACTGTATCAGTAGCTTGTCTCTGGACAAACGTGAAATTAAAAAACTATAGTGAGGTGGAGTTTTGTTATAAACATGTTTAATTGCATGATTTCCTAGCAGTTAGTCGATCGTACCTTACATATTATCCCTAATAGTGGTTAGTAGAAAGCTGAACACTGCTAAAGGTCGGTAATATGATCAAAGGCACTTGCTACAAGAATCTCGTAAAGTGAACGTACAACGAAGTCATTATGCGCATTTTTGTGTAACAGATAGAACGCTTGGGATTGAAGTTATATTCTTATAATTCACTAGATGTGAATTACTCGGATTCAGTTGTTAATTTTACAAGCATAAAAGCAAGCATACAATTTGTCCCACAAATGCTATCTCACGTGATTTATTGGCCTTATGAATTGTATTTTGGCAAATGCTAGATTCAAATTTTGTTCAGGATCACGAGATCAAAGTAGAATTGGATGCGCATCTACGTTGCCACTGTCACTTAACACCAACTAACTAATTACTAAAATACGGTGCACTGTTAGTGAATATTCGGTAGTCGGAAATGGAATGGAGATCAATGAAAAATGAACAAATGATTCATACGAAATATGACTTCTTTTCTCACGGTAATAATACGATGCAATTCGCTTAATGCTCAGGGTGTTGTTAATGCTTTCACTGAACAATGGTGATTACTGGCCAGAAGACTAACAGACATTACTGCCGTTTCTTTACTTTGCAGCATAGGGTATTAGTGCTTTATCAGTGCTATGTGTTGTATAGCTTACCAGTACTTGTTATGTCAAACAAACTACATATTTTGCTCTTAATGTCTCTGTTCTAAGAGGAACTATGGTGTGGTCACCCTAAAAGGAAAGACACCTACTACTGCTCGTACACGATGAATATTAAGTGACTGTCACCATTATTAGTTGATAAGTAAATTATCAACCATGTATTCTTTCCTGAACCATGTATTTGTTTGTGTATATCATCAAACCGCCAATGAAGCGGAGTTATAGACCATAGTGTTAGTTAACCCTAATTACGTGTCATAGTGTTGCAATAGCTGGTTTATATTGTTGCCTAATGTCAACAAAATCATCAGTCGATTCGCCGCGATATACCAGAAGAGTAAAACAAGCAGCATAACAGTTTAAGTTAAGGAACTGGGTGATAGTATGGAGAAGTGATCTTCATTCTTTGAGGTCTTAGATGTGGAAGTTGTCTAATAGCTTTACATTAACAGATTAAACGTGTAGTAACAGGAAAAATGAATTGTCAAGAGAAATGCAATTAAATTAAAGGAGTCCTTTGTGTTGAACGTAAGAAGTCTGCTTACATATGTACTTTAGTGGAAGTTCAATCTCAAAGTGATGTACTATTATGAAGTTGGATAAAAGAAATATTCTAATATTAATAACTGAAAAATGAATAAGGCAGATATCATTGGGGTGAAAGGTGAAAGATATCTATCAGCAATTTAGAAAGATGGATGTAGGGATGCGCACAAAACAGAATGAAGAGTATAGCAGTGTATATATATATATATATATATACTGGTTTGAAAACCGTGCGACACCTTTCAAATAACTTCATCCTCTAGGTAGAAATTTCATTTAGCTGTCGATCAACTGATATGTGTATTGGGCAGCAGTTCACTCTGTTTTTGATGACCATGAGACACAAGATGGGATTAATTTATTTTTCACTTGTAAATTTATAATTTTTTAACGATTTTAAATATTTTTAAAGGACTCTATCTCTTGACCTGCGTCTTATACTTGCTCTCCAATAGTTTCATCGTAGTTTATCTGGTAGTCTCCTTGATTTAATTGTTATCCTCAGCCATTAGAACAATATTCATATTGCCTTGATGAAGCTCTAATTAAGATATTTTTTCAGATATTTCTGTGGAAAGATCAGTGAATATCCCGACAGCTCGACTTAATTTTTTGGAAAAAAGGATAAGTTATGGTGGAAATCGAAGCAGTAATGATGATGATATCATCCTGATAATTTGCACGATAACTGCTTATGTAGTTCGCTTTCACCACTCATTATTCCACTAGACTGCCTTACAAATCAGGCGTACACAATAGTTTAATTATCACATTGTGGCGTGTGCCACTGGTAAGATTTATCAGTAGTATATAAAGAGACGTTCATCAAATAGCAGGGAGATAGATCTGATGTCAGAGAAAGCAAATGATACAGTGTTGCGGAGATGCTGTGGAAGCAATACAGAAAAACACAATATGAAGGCCGAAGTAGCACAACACGGAAGATCTGTGCAAATGGTGATTTGAGGATAAAATGTACATTATTTCACTATACAGCAATACATAATTCCAAATAGACCTTCCTTTACCAATTCTGTCACTTCTACCATTGCAACACTAAATATTCAATTCAAGTTTTCTCAAATGTTTGAATTTTCAATTTGGAACCTCCTGTCAACTGACATCATTTAAAATTTGCAAGCTGTAGGCAGATAGTGAGGAGCCAACGAAATAAACGATGGTACCATCTTATTCTGCACAAACTGTTGTCTTTGCTTTCTTCAAATTCATAAAGGGGAATAAATGTTTGAAGTTTCGGAAAAATTGTTTCCCCATAGAATCTTTCAAATCCTTAAATCACTTGGTGACAATTCGTTGCAGAATATCCAGAGGAGTGACTCGATTGAAGTTTTACGATAGATGCTTGCAGTCTCACTGTTTTCCTCGCCATCCTATCAAGTCACTGCGTACTTGCGAATTACCTGCCTTCTCTCAAAAATATTTGACATATTACAGAATTGCATACTGAATCAACAGAATCTTTAGTCTCGAAATTGATAACCGAAGGCCAATCCTTCGACGGTGTCAGTAGTTTGAATGTAGTATGCCGGAGCTTCAACAGGAAAGATGTGCAAATTTCCATAAAACTCTGCCGAAATCCTTGACAAAGGAGAAAATCCTGAGTTAATCTGTAATCTGGTGAGTCTTAAGTTAAATCGCATTGAAATGGAAGCGCTTTCCCTTGGATTTAACTTCTATTTTCCGAATAACTTCGTCAAAAGAACTGATGTCGCAGCTCAATTCGAAAACATATTCTATCAGCTGAATGACTTTATCCCAGTTGATGAGGACAAGAAGAGCTGGTTCAAAGCAAAGCTGGTCGACGTTACAAATCAACACCTCATTTCACTAACGTCATATTCCAAAATCTTTTCTGAGTAGCATCGAATAGCATTAAAAGCTCTCAAAAATAATGACGAAATCTACATATTGTGACCTGACAAAAAGCTCAGGTGTGATGCTGATGAACAACGATGGCTACATTGTAAAGATGAAAACTGTGTTAAATGATCCGTTGAGGTTTAAAGTTGACAGGTGCCAGAAAGATAAGACAGATGCCGCTGAATTACGCTTCACAAACGTATTGAGAGATCTCCTAAAGAAGAAATTGATTGGCAACAATGCATACTATAATTTAAAACCCCGAGGATCTCGTTTGTGGTACATGAATGGCTTTTTAAAAACACACAAAAACAAGTCCCCGTGAGATCTACACTTTTGATGATCAACTCGCCTTAGCATAAGATTTCTCGTCGGCTTGCAGAGAAGTTGGAACCCATCTGTCGATAACGGTCAGCTTTCTACACCATTAGGACTCCTTTCATTTTAGCGAAAGCGTGAACCACATGAACGTTTCAAATAAGTTCATGGCGTCATTTGATGTAACCTCCTTTTTCACAAGGATCCCAATCAATGAAACTATCGAGATCATTTGTCAGGATTCTTATCTTCTCCCACTGCCAGTATCGGAATTCAAAAGCCTACTGCTAATGTGCACCATTGATGTACAATTTCAGTTTGACACCATTCTTTGCCACCAAATCGATGGTGTAGCTATGGGTAGTCCATTTAGCTCTATTTTAGCAGATACCTTCATGTCCAACCTTGAGAAAACAAAGTTGAAGCATGCAATTAACGAAACAACTTAATGTCGATATGTCAATGATACATTTGTAGTATGCAACAATGAAAGTCATGATTCCTACCTATTCGGATTATTCAGAGACGCACTTGCAAATTTTGAATTTACCATGGAAGATGAAAGTGATGGAAAGTTCCGTTTCATTGACATTGCCATGCAACGCCTAGAAGACTGGTAGTCTCCAGAGGTCAATTCACTGAAAGCCTACATGTAATGGACAATACCTACATTTTAATAGCTTTTGTCTAAATAGCTATAAACGAGCACTAGTCAAGACTCTGTACTACACAGTTAGGAGAATATGCTCTACAGAGGAATTAGAGGAAGAATTTATGATTCTCGAAAAGATGCTGACAAACAACGATAACCCTCAGAAATTCATTAACAAATATTGAATATGTGAAGGCTCAAATGTCAAACAAATCACAGTGGGGAAAAAGCCTGTTTTCATTTATCTTGATTTTAAAGGTGAAAATATTGCAGCAATAGTTAACAGAAGATTGAGTACATCACTAGCCAGAGCCTATGCTGCAGCTAAGCTGGTTCGCGTCTATCAGACTATATGGTCTATGGTACTGCAATCAAAAGTCGACAGATACCCTTCTCATGTCAACTCCAACTGTGTGTACAAGTTTACGTGTGTATGCGGGAACAGTTACATTGGGGGAACAGAAAGAAGAAGGGCACACCTCCGATTTTCTGAACATGTACCTACGTCTCAGGGAAACAAACGCTTACAATAGTGCCATTACCAAGCATCTCCTTGATACGGGTCATGAGGTGGAAATCGCGAAATCCTTTAAAATTATCAATAGACAAAAGAGCTTTGTTCTTCTCAAGTTTGCCGAAGTAATCTTTATCGAACTCCTGAAACCAGATTTGACTACGTAGTCTTTGGCTTTAACCTCACCCCACTTTGATATAGTGTAATATTGTTTGTCTCTTGTTTCTATGACTTGAGTTGAACTCAGCTCATGGTTACCCAATTTATTAGTTACTCATCATCTTGCGCACCTCTCGTCTTTCCATTATGGATAAAATTTTATTTTGATAAAATCACTCAGTGTTATACAGTAAAATTTACTGATGACCACTTTTCGAGCACAATTTATTGCTCATAATCAGATCAAGGTGCTCACATAACTTTCGTGCTTCGTTTACATACATGAGTAGAAATTAATTAGACATTTGAATAAAATCAACATAAGACTTGTGTGAAACAGAATGGAAGATAAAGTACATTTGGAACGAATATTAGTGTTATCAATAATATACAATAGGTTGGGAAATAAGAGGAGAGTTGTTAGTCAATAAGCTGGAAAATAAGATGTTTTTATAGTAAAATAGATAACTTGTTAGAATGTTGTAATGTGAATTCATTACATTTTAAGATTATTTATTATCCTCTTCTGATTTGACTGGCGGTAATAATATCTTCCATATCTTTGGTATTTGCATTGAGTCACTTCTATTGATAACACTAATATTCGTTCCAAATGTACTTTATCTTCCATTCTGTTTCACACAAGTCTTATATTGATTTTATTCACATGTCTAGTCAATTTTTACTCATGTATATAAACGAAGCACGAAAGTTATGTGAGCACCTTGATCTGATTATGAGCAATAAATTGTGCTCGAAAAGTGGTCATCAGTAAATATTACTGTATAACACTGCGTGACTTTATCAAAATAAAATTTTATCCATAATGAAACTATATTCCACCACAGTGCCCAAGTTTTATTCTTATGCGTCTCATCTTTATTACGTAACTCCTTCACCTTTTTATGCACACATTGATTTTGTTTAAACTCGAACTCCCCCTGTGTAAAAACTCTATGAGTGTAATTTCCTGAGCACCTTTCATTAAGTGTGGAACCTCCTGTCAACTGACATCATTTAAAATTTGCAAGTATGTTAAAACTTTTATGTACACAGACTTAATAATTTATTTAGGCTGTGAGCAGCTAATGAGAAGCCAACGAAATAAAAGTGATTGTACCATCTTGTTCTGCTTGCTTTATTCAAATTTAGATGCATGAATTGGAAGGTGGAGGGGGTGAGTGTTTATTTGTTAGGTCACCTAGCCCCTAAGATAATCCATTGAACTATTCATTTAATACACTGTTTTGTACTCTGAAAGACTTTGAACTTGTTTTACCTTTAAATCACAATAGATATCAACATTCGTGTGTCAGTTTTCCGTGATTCAGCAATTTAACGATGACGTATACCTCAGTATTATATCAGTTCATCGTTTCAGTGTCTAGGGTTTGCTAGCATAAGAAAAATATTGACTTTCTTGTCTTTTGGTAGCATTTATTTACAGATTATGTTGGTGGGATGACCTATTTTTTGTTACTTAAATCTGTATTCATTATCTTTCATTTAGTCCTGTGAGAATTCAATATGTCATTGAGCAAACAAAACACGGATTTATATTGGATTTATTGAAAATGTAAGTCATTTAATTGTGATTGTTAGTAATCATTACTAAGACTGTGTTTCTACCTTTCCTATATACTCACTTATGGAGTTGTGATCAACAAAGTGGAAAGGGAGATTTTCTGAGCAACAGCAGTCGATCATGGAAGTAGCCGTAAAGACCATCCAAGCGACTACACTTACCACAGATTTCAGATATCTTACTATTGATAGCATTTGATTAGAAAATGGACATCCTCTCATACTCCATGTGTGTAATCGATGTAGTTTAGCAGTCCCCTTATTAGTGACACTAGTAGAGTGTGAGCTAGTATGGCCAAGGGCGTCTGGAATGTCGTTAGCATATTTATATGCATATAACTGAGAATGTGCGAGAATTTAGACAACAATTACAATATATTTGACTCCTACGTATATGGCAGATAATAGTGTTATGTGTTGTGTGGCTCGTGTAGTTTCCAGAACGGAAATTAGAACCACTAGCATCTTGAAGTGGAGATTACTGTGAGGTAGCTGGCATTCCCATCATTGAAGCAAAACGACAACATGAAGGTTAGAGAGCAATATGTTTTATAATTTCTGGGTTGCAATTTGGTTGTTTGAACATAGATGTCTGATGTGTGTAAAACGTGACGCACTGGTTAAAAATAGAATAAACTGCAAACAGTCATATACAGCTTAGTGATTGATGCATAATGACTCATAAGCCAAACGTATTTTCTATCTGACGGTACTAAGATATGTTACTAGGACCTTCAAATACATTCAAGTAAGTGGACCGGAGGAAAACCACATGTTGCTAGGTTGTTCAAATACATTAGAATAAATGTCTAAATATTAGTTTACTTATAATTTTATATCTTTTGATTGACTTAGCAACATGTTTACTGTTAGTCAATAAATATTTTTCATTTCTAGGCTTAGTGACATGCTACTGACTTGAGTGCATATGTCATCCCATGTAGCAAATGGGTAGTGTGTCCGATTAAAATAAATTGACTCTTCTAAATGAGATGACATTTTCAGCCTTTCCTAACAGCCTATCTATGGGTTAATAGAATGAAATTAACGCCTAAAACCAGAAAATGGATAACACATAATGCACTCTATTGGGGAGCGAATAATCAAGTAATTCAAAGTTTACAAACTTCACAGACAGTAAGTGCAGTCAGCACTTGAGAAGGCATAATTACATTAAGCACCATTTACTTACATAATCACCGGTATACTCTCACAGTGGATTTAGCCTATTTTTTTAGCATTACCACTTCTGATTATATTCAAACTTATGTCTGATCTTTATTGAAAGTAACTGTCATTACCACTACTGTGATCGTAAATTGTTCTTTCTTTTAGGATTCATGTAAATACTGCTGTATACAAATACACAGTGTATGGTTCAACGCAGAAGGACGAACTACGCTGTGATATACAAAATCTTATTATGAAATTTTTATATGTTGTATTTTATTACGCGAAGCAGAACGATTATTTATCCTCATTAGTACCACAGTATCTTAGAAATATTCGTTTTGTCGAAGTGAGTTAAATGATAAAAAGGCTTCCTTTTTTTTCCAGCTGTGTTTATTCATCATATATGTGTAGTTCCCCGTTCTGTAGACTGTTGTATTCAGTTGTACTAGCATGGATAAACTGAGTGTTGCAGCTTATCAAAGCCTTTGATTACTGATCTGCATAGTTCTTGGGCACGTATATAGCTGATAATTTAATTCTGGGAAAACAATGTATTTTAAGGTGGAAAACATCACTCCGATGCCTCAGTGTGTCTACAATTCGGAAAGATCAAACAGTTTGATAACTTTATGGTAGCAATTGGGTATAGACTGTTGCTACACTGGTATTTATTTAAATCAAGCCCCAAAAGATATCCGAAAATATTATCATACTAGGGAAAACACCAGTCAAGAAATAACACATCATAATGCACTATAAATTCACTTTTACTCTGTGGATTTTGTTTTGTTTTTTCACCACACTTTTCGGTGAATTTTTACCGTGTACGTCCTTCTTTTCATAACAAAAAATTATTTTCCCATAAGTCAGACAACAAACCAGTAAGAAGGATGTCAATGAGAAATGGGATAATATAACACAATTCGAAGAAGTACTAAAGTTTGCTGACGTTTGAGTAGAAAAAGCCTAAGAAGAATTAAAGCAAATCTCACTTTGCTTCACAATTTCTTGGGAGTATACAAAGTGGAGCGTGAATATTGACACATCCGTCTGTATACCATGATACGCTGCTCCAATTCGTATTATATATATATATATATATATATATATATATATATATATATATATATAAACCTAGTTATCAAACTTCGGAGTAGAATTTTTATATTATTTATTGTAATTTGTATTTTATTGTATTTGTTTAAAAAAAGGATTCAGATTGTGCACACAAAATTAAAGCATTACTCAAACCAGTTAATTTTTCTCCGGAAGTAAATAATTGACTAATTTCCAACATGCAAAAATTTATACGTGAAACGAAAGAATAAATAAATGAAAGGATTGCTTCAGTTGGTTGAATTAACAGCCTAAATGTCAGATAATTAAGTGATATATTGAACTATTCTAACTTTGGGAAATATAATTTGATTAATTTATGTCCAATTTGTTGATCTTAGAATCAATAAATTAATAGTGTTAGTGTCTATGTCCCGAAAAGGTGTTATAGTAAAGCAGTTTCGTTTTACCCAGGCGTTATCAATGTTGTTAGAAGTGAAGAATGTGCATTTTGACGAATTTATTTTGTTTACCATATCAAGACTAAACAATCAGCCTTACTGTTTAAATGGATGCCAAACCCTTCAACACCACACAACTATCACTTTGACAACCTACGATGCTTCGAGAAACTCGACCTTTAGTAAACATTATTGAAGCATATATTTTTAGAAGTATGTGTAAATTTGTTAGTTAAGCTGCACACTGTACCATCTACAACTGTTAAATTATGTGGTATTCTTCAGTCTTCCATAACTCATAGATCCAATGGTCCCGATTCAAATACATCATGCTTTCATGTCCTGCAGTCTAAAAGTGCTTAAACATTAAGCTATAAATGTCTCTTGTTTCTCTGCAATGTGAATACATCGTCAATATAATGAACCGATATGCCAACATGGTTGATCCAGTTTGGAAAGTCGACACTTGAAAGCATTACCTTCTCGTAACTAATTTCTCAAGCATTGTGTGTCCATCATAGACTGAATGAAGTATTAGGTGGTTGGAGGCAATCGGCAGGAAGCCTTGGACCTAGGTTTCGTGCTACTTGGCACTCGTCAGCAAGGCGTATCTGCAACCTTGAAGGAACTGATGTCCCTTCTGAGATTCGAACCCACGTCACCCAGTGCTGCAGTCAGAGACGTTACCACTGAGCTATTCAGGCTCGCGACTGACCTCCTGTAGGACTGTATTGGATATTTTTGATTGGACACTAGTCAGTAACTAGTGTAATGTGTCTAGTCCTATCTTCGGTGCAGACTGAATTCTATCAGTCATGTTTGCAATGTGGCCACCATGCTAGGTGGCTCGCCATTACGGTGCACTGTGAATTGTTGGTATTAGATGGTTGGAGGCAATCGGCAGGAAGCCTTGGACCTAGGTTTCGTGCTACTTGGCACTCATCAGCAAGGCGTATCTGCAACCTTGAAGGAACTGATGTCCCTTCTGAGATTCGAACCCGCGACTAGACACATTACACTAGTTACTGACTAGTGTGCAATCAAAAATACTGAATGAAGTGTTACAAATTATAGACTTCAGTTGTTCCTTAGCTCAAATTAAAAATTTAATACACTGATTCACCAAAGCATTTACCTAGTTACGTATGACACCAATTCTCCATTAAAAATCAGAAGTCTTCAATGCATTGAAAGCTGATTCAGAGATTGCAGCAGATATGCTCACGTCACTATTGCAAAAAGGTTAGAAGCAAGGTAAGGTACCCAATGACTGGAAGAAAGGTGGCCTTGTCAAAATAGCGAAAAAGGGAGACTTAGGCCTCTGCAAGAACTGGCGCGGGATCATGCTCTTGTCAACGCCAAGCAAAATACTAAGTCGCATCATACTGACGAGATTAAAAGATATACTGGATGGAGAAAGGCGAATCAAATTGCAACTACACACATCATCCTCATCAACATAGAACAGAGCATGGAATAGCAGTCTAACCTCTACATCAACTTCATTGACTTTGGAAAGGCCTTCGATACCGTTGACCACAAAGTAATTTGGAAACTACTTCAACACTACGGAGTACAACGCCCAAATCTTCATCAAACTCATTCAACAACTATATGACAATACCACATGTCAAGTGGTACACAACGGATAACTCAGCGAGGCAGGAATTAGACAGGGCTGCCTATTATCACTGGTGATATTTCTAATTGTGGTGGAGTGGATTATGCTGAGCAAGGTGACACAAAACCAGAAGACCCACAGGCCAATATCGACAAGTTGGCAGAAGAAGTATCAAAGTCAGAACTTCAAGTGAACACAGGGAAGGCAGAGGTGATGAAGATACCCCATCATTATCAATAACAGGTACCAGTTAGAACTGAGGAGGGAAATTTGGAAGAGGTGAACTCTTTCACTTATATGGGCAGCATCGTTTCAACTGAACACGGAACGAATGAGGATGTCGAAACTGGAATCTTAAAGGCAAGACACACCTTCGTCACTCTGAAGTCAGTTTGAAGATCTTCCACACCCAGCATAAACAACAAGATTCGGATTTTCAACACCAATGTTAGGTCAATCAGTTCTTCGACATGGGTCGGAGACTTGACTTGTCACGGCGAGAATTCCCAACAGGTTGCAAACTTTTATCAACAGCTGCCTTCACTGTCTCCATATTGTAGACCAGATGTCCAGAGACAGTTAGTAACAAGGAAGTATGGGAACGAACAAATCAAACACCTATTGGTCAATACATATTCCGAAGGAAATCGAGATGGATCGGACACACGGTGAGGAGACCGTTGGCTGACGTCGCGCATCAGACCAGCGCTCGAAGGGAACTTTAATGGAGGATGAGGAGATGGGTGTGAATCAAAGAGTGACGTAGTAGATCGTGTTTGGGGGGTGAAAGACTATGGGCAGTTGTGGAACCAGATGAGGAGAACCACAGGGGACAAGACAAAGTGTGGGTGTGCTGTTGAATCCCTATGTTCCACTTGGAAGCCAAGGGAACAATTATAATAGTAATAGTAATAATGGATTGTGTAGTTAGTGGGAATTTAGTTTCATAAACACAGCCCCACTGGTGTTTTACTACCCACATTACAAACACTTACTCGTTGCCACTTATTATTATAGAACATGCAATTTTGAAAGGTTGTCACAAACGCAAATTGCTTTAACTATATTTGTAACATACACTTGTTATTCACATTATATAACGCGATATGTTTAATCACTGTAAAATAAGTTTGATATGCTTCTAATAGATCAGGGTTAGTCCTCAAGTTTTTCACAAAACAGTTGAAAGAAGAAGCGGTAAGAAGTTCAAGTGGCTGTCATACAATCAGATGTTTTATCACTGTTTGACATTACGTAGTTTGAAAGACAGTATGTATAGTATTCATCCTAATCAATTAAAATTTATATCAAATGTTAATAAGCAGTGTTATGAGGCAGTTTTAATTCGTTTTATTAATCTTTCAGAAGTGAATAAAATTATACACTTCAATTTTTGTTTTAACTTTTCACTCTCAACTTGTTTTTTCAATCGGATTACTCTTCAAGTGGATCCCGGAACTAAGTATTCGTTACTTCTGGGAATCTATCATAACCCCCTATCATCATCAACATTGTCACTACAATCAATCTGATTACTCTGTTGAAACAGTCAACTCATATTCCCCCATTGATTCATATGATGACAATGCAGAGATTACTTTTGTATTGAAACGCATGAATGAACTTTCAAGAATTCTAGACAAAAATGATCCAGCACATGAAGAAGACAATCAAAGTAACATGAAGAATAATAGTACTGTTGACAATAACAACATTGGACCCCGAGAAAAAGATAACAACAATAGTAATAATAAACACCCTTGTGTACAATTATTTGGTTCGTTGTGTCGCGTGCAACAGTTGATTAACAGTTTGTTATTAAACCGAATGAATACACCATTGGATCGCACAGTATGTTAAAAGATGTTATTGTGTATCCTTGAACAATCCTTTGTTTTGTAACATGATCAAATTGATTTAGTGCATCTCATGATAATTTATCTAGATTGAGTGTTAATCAATGCATAGACGATCAAATTAATGATTATGACCTTTACTAGAAAGCAAACACTTTTCTACAAGTCAGCTTGACGTTTTATTTAATTCAGCAAGGTAACTGCAGTTATCTTAATCTGACTTACTTAAGGATTATATTGATTACTTTCAGACGAGCTGAAATTCACTACTCTAGGAAAGTTATAAAAGAAATATTCTGGTCATTCATGTTTGTCCTTCAGTTTGCTAGATTGTTGTGTGTTGCTTGCTATTAAACGCACTTATTCACTATTTGTTTCTTGTTGTAACTAGATGACAATCGTTTTCAGCTGATTTTAAAGCCAACATGTAGCATAGTTATCAGCTAGAATCATAGGGTAAATGGTCATTGAAGAAGAGGGAAATTCGAATAATTGGTTTTTGGTGGAAGGTATAATAAGCACTTTTTATCAGGGATCAACATCATCTAAACTAGAAAGAAATGGACAGTATTTTACCCTTATCTAGGACTTCTCAATCGCCCTGTACTCTATGTGAGATTAGAGCAAGAATTGCCAGGTTTTTATCACTCAACTAACCTGGTTGAGATGCAAATCATCCCAGTTTTTTAATCCCTGTCAAGATTTCTACGCAATACAGTGATAATTTTGATACCTGCTCTAGTTCTCAGGTTACAACTTACTACACAATAAAATAGAAAGCACAACTTGACCAAAGTTATCCATTTGAGCTACAAATCTTTTCCGTTATATCTAAAAGAAAACTGTTGCTTTTCAATTATTGCCAACAGCAGTAGTAACGGCACTGTTATTTTATTAATACTATTGCTTTATTATTAATTTCAGTCAGAAGTAAACATGGAGAAAATGAATCAGTTATGTTCAGCTGTCTATTGCGACGAGTATACACTTAGTCCAAGTGTGGAATCTATGGAAGAAGCATGCATAAGACTTGGATTCAAAGTAATAATGATTGTAGTGTTTTAATGAGCTTTTAACGTTTATCTACTGATTAATTATTATTATTGTTTCCTTTAATTCCTAGAGGAACATAGGGCTTCAAGCTAGTGGCTTGAAGTTTCTGTAGCAGTGTTTATTTTACAGGATGGGGTTGCTAGCCTCATGCCCAACCTTTCCTCTTCACCAGCATTATTTCTGGCTCAGCGAGGTAAAGGAGTGCGTTGGCCAGGGATCTAACCCCGGATCATGTGCATGGTCGGCGAGCGTCCTACTGACTAATACTTAAGATAAATAGTTGGTTAGTCGGTACTATAGTATTTCATTTGATAGTAAATCCGAGAAATAGCTGACAACAGTTCTACTACCCACGCTGTTCAGCACAAGTAAAGCCTCTTGAATACAGTGAGCGTAGCAGCATGAAGACCTTTTTATTAATCACCCGAGAAAACCAATATTCACCAAGTGGCTACTATATCTGACACATGTCCAAAAGTCTTCACATCGTTCTTAGTTCCCTTTTAACCCTGCGAATGGTTGAAGGACATGAGTAATCTGTGACATGTCACTGTTGGATGTCGAGTAGTGATGCTGACTTGCAGGCAAAGCACCGTGCCACTCAGCTGAAACCAGTTGTGATTGTATAGTGATTTTTCTGAAATATGAGGAAGCTACGAAGACTACAGAATATGTGTTGTGGGACGACGTATCGTAGTCTGTTTACTCTGTTACATCTCATCACCCTTTGTTTTCCCGTAATTCTTTTCTAGATTCTGAGGGTGCATTTCAGCGTAGAATAATCATTTCAAATGGAATGACTGTTAGGAGTTTTGAAACATCAAATAGTTGTGTGAGTGAAACTGAATTACCAGAGGTTTTTGTTTCAGAAACACGAAGCAACATTGTTTTATTACTATTGTTTTTGAACTTAGTAACACAAGACAGTACTGCAATTTACTAGGTTACTATAAGTGTGTTTACGTGTCAACCTAGTCAATTCAGGTCGAAGTAGGTGAAGCGCATGGTTTGAAGCTGTCGTTCGCCAGTTGCTATTTGGAGAACTATGCCAACAGGCAACACATGTTGTCATCACTATAATATAATTCTGCCTACGCACTTTTCTATGTACTTTTGTACATACCTCATATTGTTGTTTATGTGGGATTTTTTTAGCGTCGAGAGAAAATAGTAGTGGTAAGGTAAAAAGTCAGTATTTTTTCTGTCTGTATGTTGCGTCGATATCTCAGGTTTCTGAAAAATTTGACCTTTTTATTTTACCTAGACTTTTCACAAATTTGTCAGTACTTGATACTAAATTTCATTTGTGCTGAAAACTAGGAAGGAAAGTATAAAAATGGCTGTTCATTGGTGTTTTTGTTAGTGTAGTGTGAAGGAAGGTATTCTTGTAAAGTATACAGATGACTGTAATGGATAAATTGTTAAAGCTCTTACCAGTTATTAAATCATACTGTACACTTAATAGTCGTTCATTCTAAAAACAACTGTCAAATTGCCTAAGAGATAGATCCAGTCTTTTTGCTGGGTTAATGCTGAAACATTAGATGTTGATGCAATTGAAAAAGATGTATTATAATCTCGCTTTGAGTTTCCTAACGTTAAAAGAGAAACTAGTCTTGATTTGGTCTAGGCAACTGTTTACTATTCAACACAGTATCATCAATGCTATGGCTGACAGTTATTTTTTACTAACTGAAACAAAATAATAGGAGATAATAACGCCTTTCCAACTTCTTATTATAGTATTGCTTTGTTCGTTTATTTCAATTTCCCATGTTCATGTTTATTACAGATACCAACAGATCCATATGCTGATTTTCAAGAGTCTCCAGGTTCTCTTGCATTTCACAGTATACACGCGTATGCAATGAAGAATAAAAACAAGTTAATTGATATGCTCAGTTATGCTTATCCACTTCAAAAATATGACAGTTTTACAAGTTATCGTAAATCAAATTTCCTGTCTGAATTCCCTTCTCCTCCACTGAATACTAATAATTCTCTCAATTTACTTAATAATCTGTATGATGACGGCGTTGGTGGTGATGCTACTAGCGGTGGCTATGGAGGTGGTGTAAGCGGTAAAACTTCTCGTGTACATCGTCACTTCTCAGCTGTTGATTCAAATTATATCAAATACGTGTTGAATACTACTCATTTACGCTATGATAATGAACAGTGTTACAACACTGGACGACGTTTTACAGTTGACTCGTTATCATCCAGTCTACAGCAAACTTTCAAACCATTCAAAGGGATGGTTAGTAGTCATTCCTCGTCTTACTATTATTATTATCCTCCCACTTCACTAACTGAGAAGAGGCCGTTATTTCCAGTAATTGAAGCTGCCAATGCTGTTACAAGAATGCTTTGCGAATTGATCTCAGTTCACAGTAAGTGGTAATGATATACGTAATATATACGACCTTTTCCCTGACTATTAAGTAGCATAATAGGAACCGACTGATCGCTTAAGAGATTTTTTCGCTTCACTATTACTAATGTACAATAACATTATAAATTTGGTAGATCTTTTTCATTCAATAACATTAGTTCATGTTATACATGGTTGTAACTGAACAACCACCCCCTGTTTTGACCTTTTATTACCAATTCTTTATAAAGAACACTGAATTCATGTCAATGGTCTATGCAGAATTAGTTGATTTGAAATCGGCTTCCCAACGAACTGACGGCATGCATTCATTGGAATTCACTAAAGCATCAATGTTAACGTGCTATAGAGACAGAAATTAGCTTCTGTTCTGTACTTTCAGAAGTGTAATTTTGCTTACTTTTCAGTAGTTCTCACCTGGTGTCATTATTCCATAAATGTGATCTTAAAATGTTTAATTTTTTGGATTGATATGAGTCTTCTTAAATCTTAATTAGTTTAATTAATGATACTAACTACCGCATGTTATAGCCTGCTATTCATTCTATTGGTAAAATATTCTGCACTCGTTAGAATGCATACTTCAAAGAAAACTGTTACCTTCACGACGTTACAATCGGGCTTACTTGTCTTGATAACTCAGCAAGGATTTAACCGTGCAACTGTTGTAAAAATTGAACAGTGAGTGTGGAAACAGTTAGTATAATACTATAGACAACTTGAATTATTATTGAAACCCATGGGGAAATTGTACTTCTGGTTGCGTATTTAAGCGGCAGCAAAGAATTATATCCGTTAGATAGACTTGGTGATGGACCTTTATTCAGTGGAAAACATATATACATTCTTAGCCACATTAGAGGTCTGTTAGGTCAGAAGACAATAAATTGTTCTGATTGGTTGGCAACTGCCCCAAGTTGTCCAATAAGATTAATTCATGTCCACAACGTGAACTCTGCAAGTATTGACTTAAAATATTGTTTCAGTTTCGGCCCCTTCTAATCATTCTGCATCACGCTACAGAAAGATAAGGAATAATGAGGCTTTATAAACCAAAATCATGTGTCAGTGGCACAGCAGTACAATGCTCGCCAACCACTCCACACGTGGTCCGGGGTTTGATGCCCAGCCGACGCACTCCTTTACCTCTCTAATCCAGCAATAAGACTGGTAAAAAGGGAAGGTTCGGCATGAGGCTAGCAACCCCATCCCGTGAAACAAAAAAGCCCTGTGTTCCACTGGGAACGTAAAGGAATAAAAAGATAATAAACCAAAGTCTGAAAATTATGTGAGAGCCTTGGTATTATTATGAGCAATAAATTGTGCTCGAAACTTTACCAGCGAATAAATAATACTGTGTTTTGTAAAATAAAATAATTCTATGGTGGAATCGACTTTAGTGTCTACTAAATACCTCTATGCGCATGTTAGTTATTTGCAAGCAACACTTGTACTACAGGTGATTGTGAATTTACGCAGAGCTTCTGAAAGGTACATAATTTACTTTGTCATATTCAGTTCCAGTTGATTTTAGTTGGAATAAAGAAACCCGCTTTAAAAGACAATTATATACTTTTAATTCAGTTGATAGATGGAATGAGATTTCCAGTTGTCTTTTGTAATAACAGCTCAACTGCAAGTGCACATAGTTAGTATTGACTTAATTCCTAAATTATCTTCATTTAAGATCACAATAAGTCTGTTTAACAAATAGGTAGGATGAAATAAACAGAAGCAACTGAGGAATGTTGTTGGAAGAAAGAATCTAGGATTTTAAGAATCAACCTTATTTTGACTCTACATGTTATCTTGAATCAACTAATTGACGTAGAATTCAATCGGAAATGATTTAATTTCAATCTCTTCGAAAGGTACTGGCGGAAATAAATGAAGTTTAGGTCAAGATTACCTGGGAATTTCTAAAAGCAGTTTGCTTTGACATTGAAGGTATACTGACAGTTGTCCTAAACCAAATACTCAGTTTTTCATCTTTTTATTAACTTTTTAGCACACTATCAGTGAAATCCATCAACTTTTCATAAATTGGATGCAAATATTTACCTTGTTTATTATTATTTTTATTCCCCAGGTGAAGTTCATGATTCTCAGTTTATTATAGAAGAGGATACGAATGAATTTTGTCTGCCTTCACTTTTCTACCCAATACTCTTAAGTTATCATAGTCTGGGGGATACACTATTTGAAGATTTATTCGACTGCGTCTTTTCAACATTTTTCTATACATGGACTCAAATGAAAGCTGTTCCAGAAGATTTAGTTGGAGTAAGTTTCCCAATTAGCTTTTATATATATATATTTACGAGTTTATCACGGATTGATATCAGTTAGAGAACCATTGAAAACCAGGGAGTATTGGACAGGTGTTTCATCCTAGTTTGGGAATCATCCGCAGTAGACACCCGCCACCAGCGTTCGAACCCAGGACCTTCCGGTTACAAGGTTCGAATCCCAGTGGGTGCGCACTGCCGATGATTCCCAAACTAGGATGAAACAGCTGTCCAGTACTCCCTGGTTTTCAATGGTTCTCTAACTGATATCAATCCGTGATCAACTCGTAAAAACATAACTAACCAAACTATAGAAAATTATATATACATATATATACACATATATATAGTTATAAAATTGTTGGTTGTATATATTGACGTACAAGATGTTATCTATCCCACTGGTACTCGTCTACTAATCATTTGTGTTTTTTCTATTTTGTTCAACATATCATTAATCATCGAAAGAAATTATAAAGCACGAATATTTACATTTCATGTTGATACAACGAATAACTTCTCATAAGATCCTTTATCTTCCCATAGGCTTCTCTTTCATAACAAAAGGGAATAAATTAAGTCTTTTAATATGATATAAAAGAATAATATACATCGAGCAAAGAAAAAAGCAAATAGTATTAGTTCAACAAGTAGATAATGTTGTACTATAATACTAGCCAACAGCTTGTTGTACCTGGCGACATAACAGTAGTCTTCATTCAGAATATCGATTTCTAACTGAACAAAACCTTGTTATTATGTGTGTATGTGTGCTAATAATAAACACATGTATTGATGGCATGTTCCATTTGTGATTAGTAAAGTGGTCTGGAGGTTGGTTACCACCTGACAGTTACTGACATGCAGGTGCAGCATGATATTGGCAACTGTGTTGTATATGCATTGCCACTCATGCCTACAACTCCAATATATTTTACTGCCATCCTAAATGAACAGCAGCTTGCACGTATGACGCTATACATGATTAATTAATAGTAGGCTGAATGATTTGTGAAGTGTTCTTAGAAATGAAAAAAACGCGATCAAATTTAAGTTCATCAAACAAAAAGATTGATCGAAGATGACTGAATGAGGATTTTCGCTATATTAAAATTTATAAATGCAGTAACAGAGTGTCCTATCAATATAGTAACTATTTACTTGTTGGAAACACCGAGCCATCAATTTTAGTGAATCATAGGTAATAAAAGCTAGTTACTTTGTTTATGAATATCTATGCTTTTAATTGCTTTTTTTACTATGTATCATCTGATAACCTTACTTTTTCCTTACTAATAAGTAGAACTTTAGGATCTCAGCCTTCGTATCTCTGAAACATGCTTGCAAAAATCCTATAGGTAGTAGTCATTCGCTTAACCCCATCTGACAAACATGAAGAATCTAAAAAATTTACTCTACGCATGTCAGAGGATTCCTTGGCTTACTTTCTCGTGCACCTGATGTATTATCTCAGAATTATTCAGCATATGAGTGTAAACGTCATTTATGTTTTTCCCGCCTGAATGGATTCGTAATAATAAAGAAAATAAGTGATGTCTTTTCATAATCTTCGCTTACAAACCCAATGATGACAGTTGGGACGAGATAGTGGTTGTATTTTATCAGAAGCTGACTAGCTTTGTTGTAAAAGCTAAACACTTATTTTAGTAGGTGATTTTAATGCTCAAGTAAGGAAACTGAGCCAGTCCGAAAAGTACATTGATGTCTACGGATTCCTATGCTAACGAATCGATAAGTGTAACCGTCTCCTACTATTCTGTCGAAATAATTATCTGTTCTTGGTCAGTACTAATCTCAGACATGTTGGCGACTACCAAGACCAAACTAATGATGGACACTAATGGACCACGTAGCCATAGGTTGTCAATGGAAGACCACTCGCTATAGATTAGCTGTGTGGATTTGATCATTTATTAGTTGGTGTGCTTTGATTTTTAAACAGGTAGCTGTGGAGCCAGTACATTAACTAAGGTATTATCTCGAGCCCGTTTCATCAGATTGGTATAGATTGCTGATCACGGAAGATAGGAGACAAATCTTCCAATGATAATCAGCTGAATTAACATAGTGTCTAGGATTCTCTGATTTTCATAATGCAACATAAGGAAAATTTAGTTACCTTTAACTGTAGGTGCTTGCTTTCGATTTCTTGTGTCAGGTGAAGCACTATGGTCAGTAATAATGGGGTTATATGAGGAGTGTTAAATAAGAATGAAAAATTAACGAATGAGTGTGTGAGGTTTCATTGGTTTAGGTAGTTAAGCAGTCGAAGCCACCTGCTTTCTCGAACAGCAATATTGGATGGAAAAAAGGTAGCAATGATCAAGCCAAGACATAGCAGTGACTCATGAAATGTTTGAATACTTGTTTGAGCTACTCAGGGAGGTGTAGGCTGTATGGCTGAAGCCATCGAAATGTTAAGAAGCAATGGTTTTAGACAGTTGGCACATAAGTAATCATTCCTTACCATGATCCAGATTCTGAATTTGTTCACTAAATCTCCGTACAATTCTTCCTTAAATTTTCATCTATTATAGTTCCATCACACTTCTTTTCCCTGATATTGTGTGTACTTTTTTGAAGTGTGTAGTAGTCTGAACTGGTTTACGTTTGTGCATGTAGTGCATAGTGCACGTGCACTGACAACTACGCCTGTTACACGGCTTTTCTGCATCAAAAAGAATCGACACGTGATTCGCATTACTTTTAGATTGTAAACTGTGTACAATATTTGTAAGCGAGATCTACTGAAGGCAACAAAATTACATACCTTGTCGCAGGTTTATTTTGCCTGTTTTTTTAAAGTTGTGTTCATACATAATCGACTTTACAAAGTGATGACCTTGTGAGTTCGGTAAATCATATCTCAGACAGTTGTTATTGCAAAACATGTTGACTGATTGCCAACTATTTTCTTCACAAAGATGGTTTTGTTCCACCAAGCAGAAAATAGAGATTCTGTCCACAAAGTCTATGAGATTCCATTTAGCCTGCTGAAAGTTACCACCAATGTGATTCGTCTACTTCACCCTAACACATGATGAAATTCTGTGTTGTGCTTTCAAACATCCTTCACACAAAGTCGTCCAGGTTTAAATACAAGCAAGCCTGATGATGTAGGTTTCTGCTTCGTAACTGCAAGATTTGAATATTGTAGATAGATCGGCTCCAAATCTGCAGATTATAATAGTTGTGTGATTGCATAAGCTGGATGTGGTTACATTCCTAAATTCTGCTGAAATTATATACATTTATCAAGGTGTTTATATTGGTATTCTGCTTCATGACTCGCTCTTAGGATACTTTTATTGAGGCATAAAACAACACAGGTAGCAATGTCGTGAATTGGCAGAAGTTAGAATTCATGGGCCATTGGATCGGGTCACGTGGCTTAATGGTATACGAGGTCCTGGGTTCGAATCCCAGTGGGTCCATACCGTGAAGAATCCCAAACTAGGACGAAACAGCTGTCCAGTTCTCCCGGGTTTTCCAATGGTTCTCTAACTAATGTCAGCTCATGATGAAAATCCTGTAACACAGATAGTGGTGGTAAAATAAGTTTTCTTTATACGAAATTGTAAAGTTAGCCTCATATTTTTGATGTTCCAGTACCTATTTAATAGACGATCATGTTGTGCAGCAACAGTCAACTCCGACCTTTTGTTCAGTTGTGAACCATTCACCAAGCGTAGAAGAATCTCAATAACACTGTAAGCATTTGAACATTGTTACCTTAGCACCATCATACACATCAAATGAAATCATTGAGCGAGCAATGTGTTGATGTTAGGCTTCATGAAGTAGCGAATGTAACCTGTACACAAATTAGTTAGCAACGTTTTGAATCTCTTCCACCTTTACATACATTCCGTATTTTCTCACACTGACTATGTATGTAGGTGAAATGTTGTGATTGGTAATTATTCCTCGTTCAAAATACGCTGGAAACTGATGGTAGAATAAATTATTTGTTATACTATTATTTACAGTAATCGTAAATATAATCTTATAATTAAAAAATAAATAAAAGCACGGTAAAGCTGATTTAGTACGCCTATCTGGCTGGAACTGTTTGTTTAGCAGTCATGAGCTTACGTATGTGTGCGTATGTGTGTATAGTAGATGTTGATCGATCCTCTCTCTCTCTCTCTCTGATTGAAGAATGCACTAACCTATGCGTACACACTAACGTACACACGTATTCTCAATAACTTATCCGAAAATAATGAATACAGACATAAATCCATTAGAAGTACAAACACATTTTAAAAGACTAGCATACAGTAAGGAACAGTTCATTTTGCCAGATTCACTTATCGTAGACATAAAGGATGTTATCACAGATGCGTTTAACAGTTAGACAATAAAATGTGCATTTGTAAGTTGTCGTTATTTGTTTTAATTTTTGCTTTAAAGTGGATATTTGTAAGAAGAAAAAGTGTTTTTATTACATAGCGTTGATAATTCAGTTTTAATCCTGATTTTGTATACATACTTACCTGATGACTTAAACCTGTATGTACTGTATGCAATTTACAAAATATTCTGTAATTGCAATGGTAATCTGAACAATTTTTATTTTGTTTCATTCATACTTATTTCAAAAGGATTTGTCAAATGGAAATATTTGTTCTTTGTCTTAAAGTATACATTGTGAGCAAGACCTATGGATATCATCGTCTAGTTTACTTATTTCGTGTATTTCTTCTTATTTGCTTAAACTTTGAAAACTAATCATCGACAACGTCTATCGAATAGTGTTCCACTGATGAACGTTCAAGTTGGGTCGAGTATACATTCACAAGACATGAGTTTGTAGTCAATAACAGTAGTTTAGGTACTTCACGCTTAAATGTTTTATACTGCTTATTAATAAAGTAAATTCACCTTGAAAGAATCTTAGTTTTTATGGTGAAAATTGAACTTGCAGGTTAAATAAACGACATCAGCTGAATTTCAGTTGGTTATCCGTAATATCGAGTATGAAATGTGAGGTTATGCACACTGTAAATAATAATCTCTGCTAACTAAGCTAAGCTTTAGTAGCTTCCTGACTTCTTAAAACAAAGAAAAACAGTAAAATAACAAAACGTCTGTTACGACATCAATTTATGTCCAGGGGTTTATACGTTTCCCTAGAACGACTTGACAAATAGGTATGACACCATTTGGGGTGTGATTCATCTAGGTTGGACACTGAGGAGCACCGATCAAAAGAGATGATAATTACGACAGGTATTCGTGGATAAGAATTTCGAGAGATATAAATTTGTTTTTCACACTGAAAAATTAGTCGTTAAATAAACTGAGTGGTATTGAACGATTAAAACTATCTATTTAGAATATACATTTTTTAATAATCTGATCTATTAAAGGATATGTCATTACTGCGTTTTAGTTTTGAAATATGCAACATGTGTTAGTCGTCAAGTGTAGAGCGTTGAAACGTTAATTTTTACAGTTGTTCATTTGTCATTCTCGTTCATATTCATTAGTATTGTACATACAATAAAAAAAATAGATTTTGGAGATAAAAGTATGTAACATTTACAGGCTAATTTCATACAGAAAAGTTGTTTTATGAAAGACTTTTTGTACTTCTGTTTATTTCTATTGTGTATGGTCGCACTTTCATCATAGCGTTATTTTACTCTAAATACAAAATGTTAACATTAACTTAAATGATGTGTCATGGGATAATAAGACTGACTGATGGGTGACCGCTATTCACTTTACGCTTACAATTTTCCTTCAGTTGGGTTTGGTGGAATCTACTGTGTAACTGGATGAACTCAGCATGATGGACAGAATGACATTTCTGTGTCTGACATTATATATATATATATATATATCCGCCTACTGTTTAACATCAGATCCCTCCAATCAATAAAACATTGTCTATTAGTACAGTGAATGAGTTTCTGGCTGTAGAAACAACGGAGAACTTTGCACAGAAGTGATACCACGAAGAACAGATATGAGCGCGTGGGAGAAGGAATAACTAAAAAAGGATTAGCGAAAGTGTTCAGAGTCTGAAAATGACAAGTAGTGAATATATTTGTTTCTTTTGGGTCATGTTACCAAAACCGGGTAACGATTGCTTTTTGTTCACTTCATTATATCTCTCAGGCTAGTAATGGTCAGTTGACATTATTCATGGAGGATATGGTGACTTGATATGTACAACAAATATCTTAAGCACGTCAATGGATCAACAATCATAAGCTCTTTGCTTTACCTTTGTTCTTTTCATAGCATTACTCTGATTACCATCAATGCCAAATATATTGCTTCACTTAGCGTCAGCAAATGTTTGCAGGCACTTATGATTGAAAATATGTAATCTTTTCATCTGATTTATTTCAAGTTGATATGTTATACAGTCGTAAAATAAAAAGGAGTAAAATGCTGTACAGTAGAGAATGGTTAGCTTCAATCATCCCCTTTGAATGTAGGATAATTATTTAAATGTGGAATGTACTGTTAATTATCAAGATGATTGTAGTGTTCTTTGTGTCTGTTCTTCGTCTTTATGTCTTTCAGTTATATCAACTATTGGTTATGTCATACTTTCATAGGTTGATGTACACGTTTACGGTAGATAGTAGTTAGGTTTAACAAATAGTCTTTCTTCATATCTTTTATTTCCCAAGAGACTTTTTATTGTTATATATTTACTCTTTTTTATTACAATTTGTACAACAAAGTTATAAAACTTCTTTCGCTTTTCCTTTTGCCATTTTATATTCTTAAGTCATTTTCTCCTTTCTTTCTACCTAAAATGAAATCAACAGATTTTGTGTGTTGTCCGGGAACAGATAAATCGAATCTTGAAAACTACTCCAATCTCATTTGAAGAATTTGAAAAGTCTCTGGCTAACTTCAATCCTTACGATGTGCCATCTATGTGGTCGAAACGTGAAAATAATATACGTATGAATATGCTACACAATCATCCAGCTTTAATGTGAGTCTTTAGTTGTTGTTTTCTTGTTTTGGAAAATTATCCGTCCTTTTCTATGCTTGTTTTTATTCCAGACGATTCTGATAATGCTAGTAATCTGCAAAATGTATATATTGATGGGCAACTCTAAACAATAGGAACCCAAAACGAAACGACCTATGAATGCACAAATGACCTTGTCAAGGACCAATCAGAAGGCCCAAAACAACGACAATAGTCGTCACAGGCAGCACTAAGCGCTAGATAATAGGCAATATTACACATGCCCTGCGCTTAGGGGTCGCCTCAATATATCCCTACTGTAGGCTGGTGTCATATATCCCCAAAACCTATTACTGGAAAAAACAATCACCTGATCGGTTGCTCAAGGTCATTTGTGCATTCATAGGTCGTTTCGTTTTGGGTTCCTATTGTTTAGAGTTGCCTATTGATGTAGATAGCTATTCATAATCTGATGCTTCTTTAAGGACTTTATTTAGAACTGTAATGACGGCTTCATTATGCAGTGATCCACCCACCTAAATTAACTACGTCACTTAGTATTGATGTATTTCACATAACCACTTGAACAGTGAGAGCATCGGTGGCACACCGGCAAAATGCTCACCAACCACTCCACACGTGGTTCAGGGTTCGATCCCCTGCCAACGCACTCCTTTACCTCGCTAATCCAGCAATGACTGTTAAAGAGGAAAAGTTCGGCATGACACTAACAACCCCATCCCGTAAAAATAAACACCACTGCTATCAAAACTTCAAGCCTGTAGCTTGAAATCCTATGTTCCACTGGGAATGTAACGGAAGAAATAAACTTGAGCAATGATGTTGCCAAAATAGCTAGAATGCTGGCTAAAGGAAAATAATATCAGAGAGCAGTAATGCAAATAGAAAAAGTGATAAGGGAATATAGATTTGTAATCACAATGTTTTAAGATTTTGTATTATGATAGAAAGTAGATGAATCTGTGGTACTGTGATAGATGACATTCTATTTTATCGGAAGTTATTCACCTTCAATTGCCTAACTTATTTTAATCAAGTAACTAACACGTCTCTAAGTAATTGATAAGTTGTCAGAAGTTTCATCGTCCTTAATGAACACATTTTTTTTCTTTTTTATATTTCTTACTGTCCCGTAACTTATTTATTCTCACGTATCAGTTCTGTTACATGTAGCTGCAAAATTTGTGTTTATGTTTAACATATGAGAGAACAGAAAATTTGATTTTTCTCAATTAACTCTTCACTAGCTATTAACGATAATTTTCTAGAAAATAACTGGTCTCAAATTGACCTTGATTACTTACTTACTTTCTCATTGATTTGTCATCATTCTGGATGATATTACATAACACAACTGTGTATGAATAAATTCTTGAGTTAAATTTTAACTTTTATTGATTAGTGAGAAATGTAATACAGCTAGTGCAGTATATTTTTTAATTGTGAATCAGCACTGCTTCTATTCTGTGTGGAATTAAGTTATTATAAATGTACTGTTGTACTTGAGAGAAACGTGTCACTAAAGTGCCTAACGTCATTAATAGGTACTTCTATTGTGAATAAAATTTACTTTGATAAATTCTCAATGTGTTAAACAGTAATATTTATTAGTAAATATTACTGTACAATACGGTGAGTCTTTATCAAAATGAAATTTTATCCACAATGGCATTATACTCTATTACAGTGCACAAGCTCTATCCTTATATATCATTAATAGATAGGTAGGCATAGATAAGATAAAGTTGATTATAGTATGAGTTCCAAATAAATGGACCATAGAATTTGTTACTAAATTGTACTTTCTATCCCTATTTGTGCAAAACATTTATTCAGATTTACATGACTTAATTGGATTTTTTGTGTCAGCTGAATATTCTGTGAAGCTATAGCCAAATAATCTTGTGCTTTTAATAAGCATCTTTTTCTATTCCTTTACGTTCCCAGTGGAACATAGGGCTTCAAGCTACACGCTTGAAGTTTTGGTAGCAGTAGTGTTTATTTTTACGGGATGGGGTTGCTAGCCTCATGCCCAACGTTGCCTCTTCGCCAGTCTTATTGCTGGATTAGAGAGGTAAAGGAGTGCGTCGGCAGGGGATGGAACCCTGAACCACGTGTGGAGTGGTTGGTGAGCATTCTACGGGTGTGCCACCAACGCACTAATAAGCACTTAGTCCTGGTAAATACCACCGGAAATGTGTGGTTTCTTACCGTCTCAATGGGCATATTTGTTGTCGCTGAACTGTCTTGATATTCACTTCAGGTGATACCTAACTCTAGACGGAGGATGAGATGTCACATGTTCTGATCATTTTAATCTTCATAACAAAATGTACACAGTATCCTGAATAATGTCTCAATTATTATTTATTAAATGTGGATTATTGACAGCTGTAGAACTTTTAGAAAAGATTTATGATCATGATATCGGCAGTTTATGGTTAATCCACTAGGCATATGCTGTGTTACCTCAACAAATAGAAACGTAAGGAAAAAGGACAAATACAAACAGCTCTTTAGTTCTATAGTCTCTTATGATAAATTCTTTAATGTTGTTCAGTCACCAAATATACAAACTTACTCGGCTTAATTTTGTCTTTTCAAATACTTATTATCAATGGTTGTTAATATATATATATATATATATATATATATATACCTTATCATTCAGTAAGAATTCTACTCATTCGAACTACATTTCTGTACTTAAATGTCCGTAATCTTCTTCCTGTACAATATGACGGTTTCTAGGTAAATTGACAAAATTGTATCTCTAATATAGTTTGAATTCTTAAGTATTTAAGTAGTAGTGCAAATTACCTCTGCATACCTGTAAAGGTGGACATCGTAATCTTCAAATGTGTATAGTGCGTTCTTTTATTACTTATGTTTTTCGGTAGTACATTCTGTTAGATGGATTGTTGTTTTTTAGCAGTTACTTTGTATTCTATTTATTCTAAGGTAGATGGAATAAAAGCTGTTCAACACGTAATTTTGTCATTCATTTCACCAGAACATACGTAGAAAAAAGAATGAGAAGCAGAATGAACTTGGTACAAAGTGTTTTCTGATTATTCACCGCATGCTATTGAACGACAACAGTAGTTACTCACTGTCAACTTTTAAATTAAGCAAAGATGATGTATAGTCAGGTTACATCCCATCATAGATACACACCTGCATACAGCGTGTAGTTGCGAGCTTTATAAGTGAACAGTTATAGTATTACCTGCGTGGTTCCATGATTTATGTTAACGAGAGTGAAAAAGAAGATTACTATTGTTATCGCAATCAAACTAGAGGACTTAGATATGATAGAGAAGATTTTTAGCTCAGTTGGATGATTTTGATGCGGTTGTGTTCTCTGAGCTGGATAGTTAATTTGCGCGAATTAACTATCCAGAAAACCTGAGCTACAAATCTTCTCTATCATATCTAAATCTTACGAGCGGGACACGCCTCTCTCTATTCGAGAGTGGGAAGAATTCGCCAAAAGGCAAGGATGCACCAGAGAACAATTATTCTTTCTCCATGACGCAAATTAACTATCCAGCTCAGAGAACACAACCACATTAAAACCAGAGGACTTCATGACAAATCTGTCTGTTCACACATGGACGAAATTCCAGTGAACAATAAGCAATAAATACTGCGGAATACACAGTGTAACAACAGAAGACAAGGACCAGGCAACAGATCATTTACTAAGGAAAATCAACACAGATTTTAATGTACATTATTGTAGATTATTGTTAGTAGAAAATATAGTCTTTTGATTGGTTGTTTCTCACAGAAAGTTAACCTTGCATTTCTTTGTGGCTATGTCAGATCATCCTTATGCTAACTGTATCCACCTACGCAAAATCTTTGTTTTCATTTTCTCACCACCAATATTGGGGACATAAACATTGACGTCAATTACTGTCTACCAACTTTGGCTAGCAGCCACCTCTCACCACAACAGTACGCTCATCATATTTTTATTATCTTTCTAATTGCTTACAGGGTGAAAAGCGTTGAAACTTATAAATGTAAACTGAAGCGATTTGAACACCTTTAATGACTGTTTTGAATACAGTTCATTGGTGATTAAAAGTTGATTTGAATATACTCATGGGTTAGTAGAACTCTGGTTGATTATGATACACACATTTTAGAAATGAAAAAATGAAACAGACAATAAAGGTTACACAAGTTAAAGTTAAGTCAAGGAATTATATTCCATTTAACTATAATCATTAAGATTTGTTGTTACCGGGACCAGATTTATCAGGTACTAGACTTAGATCCGCACAATTATTGTATGAGAGCTGATGATACCACTCAAAATGAAGTAGGTCAAGCGGGATTCAAATCCGGAACCCGTTTTACTGAAAGTCGAGTGCTTAAGCAAGTGAGCCATCTTATTAAGTCTTACTGATTATTCTTTACATATATTAACCGTAATCCTTGTGAACAGTTGATGAGGTGATGAAATCCGATGGGTTATTCACTGTATCTTGTAAGACTGGTTGTTTGTGCTCTGGTGAAATCTATCAAAGTGACTGTAATGTTTCATTCTGATTAAGTGACTTCAATGAAAGTAGGCCTGTTTGTCTAGAAAGAAGTTATTGAAAAATGAATTCAACTAAGTACTTCTTTATTAACACTTAAAACGAGTTGTTTTGTTTAAACTCCTTAGGTAAACTGACAGTTTTCGCCTTTATAGCAGATGTGTTAACTGACTGTTTTTAAAAAGACACCTTGGAAGTAGAAAATCTCAAAAGAGCGTGTAAATACTTGTTGACTGGTTGGTATATCAATTTTATTCATATCTGTAATGTCGTTTAAGGTGATCTTTGTTCTTCATTGAAGTTGGTGTGTGAAACATTCGAATTTCAAAGTAGCTCTTATTGGTTTGTCCCACTACCTTTTTTGTCTTTTTTCAAAAAAAAATAGACAGTTACGCAATGACCTGAAGAGGCGTCATCAGGACCATGTATACGAGAACCGCTTAAATATATTGTCAACGTCAGCACCTTTAGAATATATTCCATCAAAAGGATCAAAATTATCCAGCAAGGGTGAGTAAGAAATTTTTTGATTTGTGTTGTCTATGGACTCTTGAAAATTGTTTGTTTTGATTCGATTGTGATTCTGATGCCTCCACTCGATGGAGACCTCTTACAGTTACAATGAATATATCTGCTGGCTATGAACTGTTGTTTTGGTTGGTACTGTTGCTGTTGCTTCTGATGATGACTGTAGACTAAAGATTCAACTGTCAACTTCTTGGTGAAACTATCTTCTTATTGGCTAGTGAAGTGCACCAAGTTAATATGGAGTTTGGTTTATTCACTTCGGCTGTATGATTTATTAAAACAGAGTACTACTCAAAGTATTTATTGCATGCTGAAGATTTCTATTTAGTAATGGTTTATCGTCGTAGCCGAACAATATTGACGACAAATCTGAGATGTTACTGGTTTACTTTGATTTATTATGCATTTAATGCCTTATTTAGGTAATTCTTGTTTTATTTACCTGTAGATGATTTTCTGCATGAGGTTTGAAAAATGAAGTCTTTTTATACTAAAAAAAAGTCCCTGTTGTTATTCCGTATATTTTCTTTTTGCATCAGTTCTCCTGGAGTTACATACAAACTTTCACATTTTACTTTTCACTTAGGAGTTTATTTACTTATATTCAAAGGACACATCGTATGAGGGGCACGCAGACAATGACGTAATCTCCACTTTTAAGTTAAAAAAAAAACAAATTGGTAGGAGAAGGTCGAAGTCTCATTGGAACAATAGTAATAACAAAAACAAGGACAAATGATTCAATCACTTTTCTAAACTTTTTACAGAAAACTGTAAGTAGCCACCGTGAAGGTTGTTAGCTAATAAAAGGAGTGATAATGATATGACTATCACCTTAACGTATATCCCAGCGATGTGTATGCAGCGCTGTATCAGGTTCTCTGTAATAACTGAAATATTTATCTAGCCATAGTCCAATGAAAGACCATATTCCGTTCTACGAAATGTGTTTAATTTTGATGCACAGAAGACGTTTACACACCTTTTTTTTACGATATCAGTGTTATTCACACCTAGTACAGTGGACTGTAAGTATACATGTTGCTAGGCTATTCAAATGCATTAGAATAAATTTGTCCAAATACCAGTCCACACTCACAATCTGATGTCTTTTGAATAATTTAGTAACATGTTTCTTACTGTCACTTATCTAGATTGACTTTTGTTTTGTAGAAATAAAAAAACCTTCTAAACAATGTTATTATTTGTATATTTACTGAAGTAAAGATGATAGGTGAAGTAAATTTTTATTGCTGTGTGCATGAGTATGTGCGGTCATTGTCATACAGGGCAGAATAATGCCAAAATTATTTCCGATTTTGGTACGTTATATTTACGCATAAAACCAGCGAACGCATACTTTTATATGTGTGTAGCCTGCTCAGACTATCTGACTCATTCTCATGAATTACTCACTAACTTCGTGCATTCCTTTTTGTTTAAATACCTATATGGTGTTTGGTGATTATGTGTGAAGTTCAGCTGTTTGTTTATCAGCAAGTAGTAGTGTGGTTTTCAACCGAAGACCTATTCATCAATCTATTAATCTGGGCTTCACTTTTAGTGCATTTTGCCGGTAAAGGCGGTTAGAATGCCGTTGAAAGCCCTGCCGCAAATAGCATCATCCAAAAGAATGCTTTCAACTGAACACTGACATCATGAGCTATAAATGTATTATCAAGTATATACCACCATATGAAAACTTCTTGACTGGTTTCCAAGATAGTTATCGCTTAAATCATAGAAGTGCAGTCTTATCAAGCATAGCTTTAAGTCAGGAAAAGACACGCAAGTAAATACTCTTTTAGTTATTTTTATTATTATTATTATTACAACCTTCTCTGTCTAGCAGATTACTCACATTTTAAGCTATGCAGTTTATTTTCTTGGTAAAATAAAAGTATAAAAGAGATTAGTTATCTGTAATATTTTCTGTAACATGAATGAGTTACAGTCAGTAACAGTAAGGTTAGTGGTAGAGGGATAGGCAAGGAGTAACTGGTGATCGACGAAGTGGTGAAACTGAATCGATTGAGGTGACTAGGCTATATTATACTCGTGCCGAGTCACCGCCTTTCTCTATAAGTAATGTTAACCGGAATAGGACTACATCGGAAAACAGACAGCAGTATTCAAACCAAAACATGGCACCGACTCATGAAGTGTTTGATTACCTGTCTGAGCCACTCAAGGAGGCTTAGGCTATCTAGCTGTGTGGTCATCGAGATGTTGGCTATCTATCAATGGTTGGAGACTGTCGGTGAAATGACTCAAAGTCACTCTCAATGGTGCAGGTGCATTCACTCATTGGTACTTTTGAAATTTTGGAATTTTTCACTAAGCTTCATCTCACTATTTTTTTATGCACGTCTTCGTCCATTGTAGTTTCATTACGTTTCTTTTTTGCACTTTATGTTAGCTTTTCCGTAGTGTGGCAACTAGAACTGTCACAGCATTTGTGCAAAGTTCTACGTTGAAAATTCATTTCAATTCAGTTTGCAGTTACTGCAAATGTTGATCCATGATGAAAACACCGAAATTCAGAGGTCGATCCAACAGTTCTTGTTGTATCAAATATGTGAAAACTCTAAACAGTTGGTTTAAGTATTGGCACTGAATAGGTTGACAGGCATGCAAACAAAGATGATGATAAATGGTGAAAGTTCTAAAGGTAGGGTGCAACACATTTATTCCAACCTAACAGCAGAGTTTTATTTTGAGAACCTTCCTCACAATGCGTCACCACTTCACCATGATTTATTTCAGCAGAAAAGACCTTTTATTTTTTTATTTTTAAAGATCATTTCAAACACAGGGATTGGAAGTGCACTTCTACATTTCACCGAAGATATTTTGTTGATCTTTTTTTTGTCACTTGAAGGTTATTTCTCGTATTATCCCGAACTCATACAGTAGCATATTTGTCACTCAATGTTATGAGTAACACTCTTTATTTTTTTTCCCTATTGAAACAGACAATCAGTCTTTCACTGTTCTCTTGTCAACTGATCGTAAATCTTTTGTGATAAGAGATGCAAACCAAGCTATAAGGGAAATATGTAAGTTACTTCTTATCATAGCATCATGCTTTTTTGTTGGAAAATTATTGTCATGTTTATGTGTGCATCTTGAGTAACAGTTCATGTAAACTTACTTGGTTTTAATTGATGCATTGGCTTAAAATACCAGTGGAGAAAAGGTAGCTGTTCTCTTGTGAGAAAGCCCCATTATTTACCGAATATGTTAAGAGTGTAGGATTTAGAATAAAGAGGGAATATATATAAATAACTCAGGAGGAGGATTTCGATTATGCCATATATTCTAGTCTGTATATGGTTTGATTCATTACGTCCGCATTTTAAAATTTTCTACCAGAAATACTGAAAACCGCTCAAATAAAAATTTAAGTGTAGTTGTCAGTGAAATAAAATGGCAAAACTCAATGTATTTCAACTGAAAGAAACTGTTCGCATCGTGTTACCAAAGTGCTGAAATATTATTTATGAGGTTTCATATTCAAGTCTTACCATGACAATTTGAACTTGGACAGATGAATGCTGTAGGTTGTTATCACATCATAAAAATTCACGTAAAACTGCATAACACATCAAAATGTCATACGGGTAAGAAATTCACAGAATTAGGAGGATATCATAATCGCTACGTTGAGAGACATAAATGCAAGCGAAAAATGTATGTGTGATAATAATGTACTGCATATTGGGATAAAGATATTTACGAAATAACAGTGCATAGGCCATAGTGGAGCTGTGCATCAAATCTACTTGATCATCTGTAATGCATGATTCACATTACTGAACATCGTTATGTACTTCATAACTACCGCAAATTTCATCTTTAATTCCGACTTTATGGATAATTAAGCAAAACTGTCATGATATCCAGCGGTTAGGACTCTCGCCGACCATGCACATGGTCCGAGGTTCGATCCCCCGCCGACGCACACCTGATATCTATGGTCGGCCTGCTAAATTTGGGCTACCGATATCACATGCTGAAAATTTCATACATGTACCAAAATACTGTGTGGAATCAAGCTATAATAAAATAAAAATGATAAAATTTATACCCCAGCATCTCATCCAATTTCTCTTCTGATTTCATGCATGTCTTTTTAGTGCATCGTATAGAATATTTTGAAAAATGATTCGAATCCAAAAAGTAATTAGTGATTTTATAGTTCTGTAAAGTCATCTAGGGAATGAAAATTTCAGGGAAAATTTGTTATTCGAAAACAGTTTGATGTACGACTCTACTAAATATTTTCTCCAACAACTTACATTACTTGCCAATTAGTTAGTAGTATGCTCCCTTTGTCATCAGGTTTGCAACCAAAATTAAGTGCAACAAATGCACTCTCCAACTTTTTATGGTGACATTTTTAACTGTTAATTTCAGTTAATTAGGCTGATGATTACTTAAAACCATACCGTACTATATAAAGACATTATTTCTTTTTTAGGAGATTGGTAAATTTTTGTCAACAAATTGGTCATTTTATGATTTTTATGCTCTCTTTGTTTAAGGGCCGTTAAAATCTGTTATTCGAGTATCTTTGGGTCCTGCTGAAAAAGTCAAGAAGAATCCAGAACGAGTAAGTTTAGATGAATTTCTCCAGCCATACCTTAAACGGCACATTCCATTAGCTTGCATTAACTATGGCGCCTATGTAGATGACCTAAAGTTCGTTTTAGTGTCGTTTGTATTTTATGGGCTGTTTACAGATTGTCCCAGAGACAGAATAAAATGTATTAACCTTTATCGTGTAGTGGGCCTTTCAGTCAAGCTATCGCCTTTTTCCTGTCCATATTTCAAGCGATTAAGAATACTAGGCGCTGGAGACTCTACTTCAGGTACTCAAAATGATTAGCCTCCTGCATCGGCAGATATTATCCACAGTCGAATTATGAGATAGATATTCTTTCGAACTCCTGAAACACGATTTATGTGTTCAGGAAGAAGCAGTTATCAGTCTTTCCTCGCCCTGGTAACTGGATGTCTTTATTCTCATTTGACTACGTAGTCTTTAGCTTTAAACTCACCCCACTTTGATATAGTGTAATATTGTTTGTCTGTTGTTTCTATGACTTGAGTTGAATTCAGTACACTGTTACCCAATTTATTAGTTACTCATCATCTTACGCAGCCCTCGTCTTTCCATTATGGATAAAATTTTATTTTGGTGAAATCACACAGTGTAATACAGTAAAATTTACTGATGACCACTTTTCGAGCACCATTTATTACTGACAATAATCATATCAAGTTACTCACATAACTTTCTTGCTTCGTTTATATACATAAGTAAAAATTGACTGAGATAAATTTTAAGATTATTTATTATCCTCTGATTTGACTGGTGGTAATAATATCTTCCATATCTCTGGTATTTGTGTTGAGTCACTTCTATCGCATGTGTTCAGTGTAGACACGATGAACCAGGACTTCAGTAATCACCTTATCTGAAAGTCGTCATTTGCATAGATCTTTCGTGTTTTGTTACTTCTGCCTATCGTATTGTGTTACTTTGTCTTCTTTTCGTGTTTTCCGTGTTTTGCCGCAATGCTGGTTCATTTGATCTCTTCGACATCAAATATCTCTCTCCTCTATTTGATATTTTTACGTCGATGAACGTATCTTTAAATATTGCTGATAAATCTTGGCAGTGTGTGTAGATTCTGTGTGATTCTGTTGATGAACACTGTCAAGCTGCAATGCATGCTTTATGTGTTTACAAACCTCCACTTCAGATTCATTTAAGATATAGAAGTACAGCAATCAATTCGGCTTTTGAAGTATTAAGTGATCCTGCCTTGTGATTGCCAGAACGCTTGTCACATAGATGTTATTTGTTTTGTCACTCTATAGGTAATCAGATATTCTGTGTAAAAATGTATCTGCCGCATAACTGAGTATTATTCTGATGATGCCAAATATTTTATTTTAAAACTGCAACAACTTGAGGCTAACTTTTAATTCAATTTATTTTGCAATTAGATTCATTATACTAATTTATAATAAGTAGTGTCATAAAATTAACGAAGTTTATCTGATTTGTAGACTCTAATCTTTCATGTTGAATTAAGTGATGTGGCAAATCAGGATGATTCCAATGAATCAGTGAATATTAAATCACGATGCTTCCGAGCCAGCCTACTTGCTAGATCAACGATAGAATATCACTATTGGTTAGACGGTTTATTTCTGGTAAACAAATTAAATGTAAGTTAATTTTTGCTTAGATATTTTTCTTCATTTACTGTTTGTCGTGGAATCGAATCTCCTAGTACTGGAGCAAAATGTTTTCAAAGATTTATGAACTTATAGTACATAAATGTCATATGAATCCATAGGAAAGATGTCTAAATGAATCACTGTAGTTAGACTGATGTGAAGAGTTGTCTTATAATTTAGGACGGATTGTTCAGTTTGACTAGAATTCAATTCATGTACTCTATTTTCCTTTTCGAAAACATTTTCATTCCGCTTTCCCTCCATTTGAACTTGCTTTTGGAGGAACTGTGAGTTATTTAACATCGTTAGAAAGGTCACATTTCCTGTCCCTTCTTGTTTTGTTGAAATTTCATTGATTTCATTTTTCGTTACGGATACGCAGTTGTGACTACCACAATAAGTTTACTTTTACAGGATTTTTGCTACGTTCTACCTTCGAATCCTTGGCTAAACTTCAGCAGATATTTTTCTACTATCATCCATAGCTTTTCATTATTTGCAAATGAAGTACAGCTAAAACTATACGAAGAAGTCTAAGGATAACATAGATCTATGGAAAAGTTGTGTAGCCAAGAGTAAATGGGTGATGGTGTATCGAAGCAACTCTTTTGTTCATACATATGATATCACATGTTGTTAATGTAGTGGCTTTAACTAATTAAGTTTACTGTTTTAGTACCAGGAGAATTAAGGCTATAATACAAGGTATCTTCTTTATTGTGTCTCCGTGCATAGTACTACTCTAGTAATATTGTGAACATTGTAAACGTAGCCAGGGATTCAAGCAAGGGGCTCATTTAGTTAGCATTTTTGGCATAAAAATCTTCTTTGAATGTAGTGACGTATTAACGTTTTTGATATGAAGTAACATGGGACGTAATGGTAAACGTGTTTAAGTATGTTCAAGAGCTTTTTCCAACATGAAACCTTTACTTTGCATTCTGAAATTCTTCAAATTAATTTGAATGAAGTTGAATGTGTCAATGTTGTTTACTATCCCATGTTTCAATGTACTCTTTGTTCCTAATAATTATGCTTCGAATTGTATACATTACTTCCTTCCTCTGAAAACATGTGTCAATAAATTGGAATGATTTGGGACATTTAGAGTAGGGTAGCGGTAAATGTTTCGGAACTATCCACTGTATGTCACGAAAGCCAATAAAACATACATTTTCAAATGGTCGGACATATACTCTACTGATGATTGACTTGTTATGAACGTATAGCTTCACCCGAAGTGCGCACTAGTTCAATTTGTCACGCTTCGAAAAAGCGAATATGAAAAATCTCCATTATGGATAAGAATTTATTTTGATAATCACACAGCGTTGTACAGTAATATTAACTGATGACATTACTGTACAACGCTGTGTGATTATCAAAATAAAATCTTATCCATAATGGAGTTATGCTCTACCACAGTGCCCAAGTTTTATACTTATATCAACGAATATTAAAATGATGGAAAGGAATGTAATTAAACCAAAATGAACAAAACTGTTAGAGTGAAAGAACACTTAGATGCAGAATCTGGAAGGTGACAAGTATTAGATAAATGCGCACCATTGATAGTCATTTTGAACCACTTTACTAATAGTTAGCAAGAATTAATTTCTAGCACATTGGTCAGTCAGTCTACACTTCACAACCTTTGCTGAAACCAACAGACTTTATGAATTGGTGCCACCTTTTAGTCCGCCCACTCCTAACACTTTTCAAAATTGTTCATGTTTTGGAGAGTGTTATTAGAAGAGGAATTGGTTGTTTTAGTCCTATTCCACATAAAATTGTTCAATGAGAAGGCGGTGACTTGGTCTGTCTATAATATATCTTAGTCACATCAGTCAATTCACCTAACACGAAATTTTGAACCCATCCACATTTGACAGAGGCAAATCGCATGCAAAACTTACTAAGATTTTTGGTTGAGGTGTTCAGAAGACTGCATCTCTCTGTGTTTTTACCTAGGAGGATTACGTCTTCTGTATACTCTAGGTTAACGAGATGCACCTTCGTGGTTACAAGTCATTCCCAGGGAAATGCATGTCGATTAGATTCACATCTAATAGAACATCTATAGTCGAACTAAGGAAGAATGGTGACAACGAGCATCTCTGATGAACCCCTCTCCGTAAGCCTCTTAAGAGGAAATTCTTATAATGAAGCTTAGGCATTAAAGAAATTAACATTTATCTATTATTATAACTGACGTAGTAGGTTTATAAACATATTTCTACAGTATATATTTTTTATCATAAAGTTTATGAAGAGCAATTAACATTATACAGTTTTTTGTGTCCACTATTTAATTAGAGGTTTGAATATTTTTGATGACTCAAATTATCATGAGCTCCATTTAATGTTATGCTTTCACAAAAAATGGATTTTTGTGACATAACTTATTAGGTAAACTAATTAGGCTCTGTTGTCTTTCTACACATCATCCGTATTAAATGAACTAAAGTGTTGTGTTATCCTGTCTGTTAGTCTAGAGCAACCAAGGTTTTTTGTTCTCTTAAGAATGCATAACTCCTAGATATTTATGCTGTTTCACAACTTCTGGTGTATTAGGCATGGACTCTGAGGATTTGCCAACCGACCACCGAATACTAAGCTATTTAGATGTTCACTAGGATCGTCAGTCATGCGGTGAGTGAACCTAACGAATTACATATCCCAATAAAGTCTATCAGTTTGCAACTGAATGTTGTTAGTCGAAACAAATACTAGGCAGAGAGAGAAACAGAGAGAGTATGTTACCTCAGTTACTAATAAACCTGAAATTCAGATTAACCACACCCTTTTGTTGGTTGAATTTGAAAATTAAATTAGAATTAATAATATTAGTGTAGTTCTCCATCATTTCTAAATGAAGATAATCAATGTATTATCAGCGTAAATCTATTTTTCAAGAACCAATACACACATCAACATGTCACATTCTGCTTGACGTATCTATTCATGTTGTTTGTTTGTTTGTTTTTGAACAACAAACTTTTTATCTGCACTTTAATGATTTGATTTTATCATGATTGAATCCATTTGAGTTTAATTTTTATTAAAATTGTCGTAACCGCATAACATATAAGATGGTAATGAAGTTGATTTAGTTAAATCTTCTTCTAGCCTGATTAGTCAGTGTTCATGACCTCATAAGAGGATAAATCCCTATAAGTACAATCTTGACAGCTAGATCAACAAGAGCGGTTAACCTGATATGCCCTGTGTCGATACAGGTATCACTACTGGTATTGTATCCTTCAGTGTGCTGTCATTGTTTATCTGATTTACTAACTCATATACAACTTTTCCGCTTTAAATACCTCTTTAGTAGACCTGCTTAGTGTATGAATTACTTAAGTCTTAGCACTAGTAGTAATAGTAATAAGTGTATTTTAAAACTATATACATATTAAGAAATAGTAATTATTAGTTCATCTGTTTTTATCAGGAAACTTCGCTAACCAATCAAAGAGCAAAAAGGTAAATTAATCCGTACCGGCAAACTGGTGAAGTAGATGAAAGTTTAAAGACAGTAATGAAAAATAAAATTTATATATTGTGCAATGTCAAAAAATTCAGATGCGACTGGAAATATGCAATGATGGTTATATCATGTACCGAATTATCACTCAGTGAATAGTTAGTGTTTATAAAGCCTGATGGTTGTATCACTGTAAAAAGTGGCTATTGAAGTTTGAAGATGCAAGGGTGTTACAGGTTTCCTACTTCATATATCCTTTGAGCTTTTTCACATGACAGCAGACAAACATATATATGGTTCAAGTTTTCACACAATCGAAGTGAAGATCAACAGTTGTTAAAGGAAATAAAGTAACATACTGGAATAACAGCATGAAATACCACATGGTTTTGATGAAAACATGATATGAATGCGTTCCGCGCTACTGCGATAGATTTTTAGCGGTTACATTCCCCAATACCTTGCCTTGTTATCATCCAGATCTAACTCAGAAGAGTACATTTCGCTATGTGATGTGAACAAACAGTTATTAACCTTAACATATTCATTTTGAGCGTAAAGCTCAGAACCTTCTTTCGGGCCATATATAAAGAGCAATACTCATCTTTCGGGATGGTATTGATCCAACAACCCATAATTTCTATAAACGTATTACACCGCGGCAGAGGCCGGGTTTTCACAGCAACCATCTCTCCCAACATAACGCTTTAAAGCCGGAAAAGGCGTATATTTCACCTTTTCGAGCAACTAGGGCCTGCCAGTGACTAACAGTGTTGCGGGCCGCTCATAGGACCCTAATCCGCGACTTTTATTCAAGGGTTGTGGATTGTGTAGGCGAACGACAGGCCATAATTCCACCAGTATTCATGACACCAGTCGTAGCAATCTGCCGATGCCACTATCCTAGTAGAACCGGAACCCGCCGCCACAAGTGTTATTTTGCTACAATTGTTCTGCGCACAGATGGTTCATAAGAAGGATTAACACATGCCGCCGTTTACCCGCGCTTCGTTGAATTTCTTCACTTTGACATTCAGAGCACTGGGCAGAAATCACATTGCGTCATAACCGGTCAGCGGACATCGCAATGCTTTGTTTTAATTAGACAGTCGGATTCCCCTGGTCCGTGCCAGTTCTGAGTTAGCCGTCGCGCGCCAAACAATGGAAGCACAGCCGCTTGACGCAACGCGGAGCAAGTCCACGCGCGTTGCTAGCCATACAACACTAACAGCTGAAACGGCCCACGATCGATCACGGTCAGAGTCCAGTAACTCCACAACAATGCGCACCGAAGCACACAAAGCAGCAAAGAAACCAGCCTCCAACTGGACCGACACGTATCTGATCTCGGCCTGTCTGACTCGGCCCCCAGAGCCAATCCTTCTCCCGAAGTTACGGATCCAATTTGCCGACTTCCCTTACCTACATTGTTCAATTGCCAGAGGCTGTTCACCTTGGAGACCTGCTACGGATATGGGTACGGCCTGCCACGAAAATTATACTGTCTGGCTCGGATTTTCAAGGGCCGACAGGAGCGTTCCGGAAACCACAAGAAGGGTGGTGCTTTACTGAGGCTAGCCCCCTATCTCCGGACAGTTGTGTCTCATTCTGATTACCCTTTACTTCTTTCTAGTTAAATTAGCATCTCGAGATAGGTTGGTCTTACCATTTCAGTTGACCAGTGGTTCATGTGTTTAGTATTTTCAGACTATACACTTTGAAAGGATTTTTTCCATAACCATAAGTCAGAAAAAACTCAGTGCTGAAGAATACACATAACACTTAATAGACGACTGGGTATATATCTGTCATAACTAATGTGAGCTGCCGATAACCATCCATGCCTTTTGTGTTCAAGCTAAACTGTTATCATCCATTCACTTATCCACGGTAAATGACATGGTAAATACTGTGATTGTATCGAAATATATGGCATTGGAACCAAACCCTTTCACCTAAAAGATGCAAAACATATCAAATACGTTCGTTGAATTGTACGGCAGCAAATTCATTTACTTGGATTACACGTCGGCCCAGAAAGCTTTCAGAATACGATCATCCTATACGAAGTTAGGAAGCACAATGACCTAAATAAATTTATATATGTAAAGTTGTATAGAAATGGAAAGATTGAAGATTCTTTACGAATACCACACGGGGATAACACGTTATTTTGCCTGATATGATTAATATTGTTAGAATATTAGGACTTTATTGAGGTAATACACATGTCAGACAGAGCTCACTGAGAAACACTGTCACAAAATTCCTTACAATCTTCAGGTCAAGATGTGCAGCTGGTATTGAGAGGCTCATAATTATTTATGCCTACCTTCTCACGCTTGAAGGGAAGACGAAAACTTGGTCGATACAATCATAACCAGATCTGGAAACCTGCCCGGTTGTATCTAGTTCGCAGTAATCGAATTTCATTAGGCGTTAAGTGAATCTTAGTAACGATGCCATTGGAACATTGAGTGGAATTTACAATAGCAATAAATGATCAAATAGAATCAGAGAGGAAAACAAAGTTGCTTTCCTCCATTTTAGGTAAACACTCAATTAGTATGACAGGAATTCTTTGGTCCTTCATTTTTAAACATTTCTGTTATTGATGCTTAAATATTTGATACCTTTCATTATAGATTACTTACAATCTTCTTAACTTCATCAGAAATTGGCAGCTGTGTGTATACTGCTGTGGAAACTCTTTTCAATCTATTTTAATACCGTCTTGCTTCCGATGCTTTTCTTCTATTTGCCAACCTGAGCCTTTGCATTTCCTAAGTTCTACATTACCATATATCCGTCTTGTGAATTGTTAAGTAGGTTTCTACGCCTTGCGTTGATGGTTCAGAGGTAGAACACTAGCCAACTCCTGAAAACCTTGCTCTGCTGGTAGTAGGACGTGTGCAGAGAGAAGGTTGGGTGTGATTAATAAACACCATTGCTGCTGAAACTTCAAAGCTCTCAAGCTTGAAGTCGCATGTTTCACTCGGAATACAAAGAAATAAAATCATTGAAAAATAATAAAATCTACGCCGCAACCATCAAAAGAGGTTGATTCAGTGTATTTCTTAGGTTCCCCTTGCTTGAGTCAAAGGTCTCTTAAAGCCATCTTACTTCCAGTGATTAACTGTTTTGTTTTAATAAGTTATGAGACCTTAGAATATGAGGTGAAAAATAATTGTGCTTGCAGTCTTACGAGTGAATGAATGCATTTGAGAGGGAAAGTCAGTCGTTCTGTTTTGGATTCACTAACCAGATAAATCTGGTAACATCAGAGAATTATCCACTAGATTGAAACTATGATTGTTACTAAGTGGGTTTGAATTTAATTGGTCCATTTTATTGAGCAGATTCTCTCTTGGTAAATATTGATATTTAAGTTGTACTAGTTGTTTTGCTCTCACTAAATGATCAAAATTCTTGACAAACTTTCCGGGTAATCTTATATCCGCTCTATAACAGCTGCATTTTGTTAGGTGGGTTGACAGCCGTTATGAAGAATTCTTGCGTTTCAGTTTTATACTTTTTGACACTGGGGAGCAGCCATTTTTATGCTTTTTAGCTCAGCGTTCAGAATTCTGCCAACGAGATTCGTTATCACACTGTTGAATCTTATAGTAGGATTTTGTGATATATTCGTATTCAGTTGTATTGTTATTTCTATTTTTTTTGACTTTTTTTTCTTTTTAAAAACATATTTATTTAGAATCCAAGTGACTATTACAGTGAAGATGTGGAGCGGTTAATTGATTTGGATATGCGTATACGTCTTTCAAGTTTAGATTTAAGTGAACTACCTAAAAGAGAAATTTCTATACCTCCAGATCCTCCACCTTTGGATTTTGTTTAACTTCACTGCCTTACTTTCTTCATTCACAACAGAGTTTAGTGGAACACATTTTGAAATAAACAAGGTGTGTCTGTGTTTTATTTTAGCCATTAGAGATTGAACACATATACTTGTGTAATTGATTACTTTTTATAATCATCGGCAATTATGTACAAAATTTCCTGACGCGTTATCCGAATAATGCATAAAATACTGTGTGTGTGTGTAAGGAATTCTTGTATTTTTCAGCTTTGTTTCTATCATTCAAGGTATGCATGGATTTGTTAATTATGCTTAGATGCATCTTGTTTTGATAGTGAGTATTTTCACCTGTTGAGACTTGTCTTTCTGTACTCGTTCAATTTAGCAGTAATCCACTCATTTATTATTTTCATTATTACTACTATTATTTTGTACGATATTCATAATTTGCTTCCTGTCAACAGGTTTATCTATAGATATTACTCACTCATTAAATTTGTATTCATACTTCGCATAATATCCTGATGTATCCTCTTGTTTTTGTATTGTCTGTATCCTAATATTAATCGAGACTGCTGTCTTCCCCCTTATTTTGCTATTCACCTTTGGTAATATCAACCTTTACTAATTCGTCATGTCGGTTGGTGGCTACCAGAGTACAATCACATTCTGATGAGCTCGTCAGCTTTTTTTTATCCTTCTCGACACAATTACAAGTAATCAAGTATAATTAGTTAAATTAATAAAAACAGCTCAATTAGGTGTCGGCCTACACAATCAGTGTTTCTCTCATTCTTCGTTTTTGTATATCAAAGCCTGTGTTCATTCACTCTTCCTTTTTAGAAAAATAAAAATTTTTATTATTATTGTTGTTCAGAAAAATAAACAAAGACATACTACTATACAAGCGTGTTTTATCGATTTTTCGTTTTCACTGATATTGTGTACTATCTATTTCATTTGTATGTTAACAATTGTTTATTAGACCTTGGTATGCAGTAAACAGACTATAGAATTGGTAAACAATAATTCAGTTTGATCATTTGGAGTGATGTGTGGAAACTGAATTTATTGAGTTGTCCAGTCCTGCTGCTAATCAGAATGGAACAACGTCCCATTTCATAGATTACTGCCAATAAACAATGGGGATGAAACCGCTAAATTAATTCCCTGCTATCTGAAAGTAAAGTGAATTTTGGTTTACTTACGGTTGCTCACCTTAATAAGTAAGAGGTATACAATTCTAATATTAATTTACGCAATCAACTTAATCAAACGCTACTTACGGTTATGTAAATCTCTTTCAAGTTTCTCCTATCTCAAATTTGTGTTTTTTAGATGGTCATTAGTGAAACTTAGATGTGTTCTTAAACAATCTGATTCTCATAAGGGGATTCAAACCTACACTACACAGTCCAAAGCTATTCTAGAGTTGAACGGTCTACCAAAAGTATGGAAACTGATCATGACTAAGTCGACAACAATTTATAATGTAGACTAACCTGTTTAGAGGCTTCCTCCTCTTCCTTTCCATCACCAATAACTACATAAGTGCATTTCCTGCCGAATCGAGATGAAATTCTTTCAAAACAGTTTTCCTTCCCTGTTTCAATAAAGACAGAACTGCATGGCATTAGTATTTTTGCACACAATAAGTATTTGTAGACGCTGATATACCGCATACATAAGATATAATCGTGAACGGTCTTCTTCACATAACTGAATTTATGGCTAAGAGAACAACCAAGTCAGCAGTGTATATTCAGGAAGAACATGTTCAGACTTTTCTCTAAATGGTGCACCTATACTCTAGATTACTGCAATCAATGTCCTATTAAAGTGCTTCTGTACTCTTATTTCGCAGATAGTTATTACGTATAGGGCCACGTTCGTATCAAGAGCCTGACTCGGTGAAATTTTAATACTCCTTTGTTTAAAAACACCTCCATTTGAGGTCTGATCTTCCTTTAACTCAAGCTTTGTAACATGAAAGCCAGGAATAGCATTTGTCTGTTTTAAGCTAAAGGGGTGGTTCAATAGATTAGAAAGATGTCACACCTATATCGAGAGGATTACTAGAGTTATGAAATATCCGGAAACAAAGTGCAGTGAATACTATTGCATGTCGCCATGGCTTGTCAATCAATGTGACAGAGGTGATCAAATGAGTGAAGTATTAGATCGGCGTACAATATATTTTATTATTATTGTTCTCTTGGGTTCCGAGTGAAACATGTGGATTCAACGGAACATCTCCACTTGGTCCCATTCTCTGTGGTTCTCTTTAGCTGGCCCTAAAATTGTCCATAGTCTCTGGCCAACACCTCTCACGACCTCCACTCGTCGTTGGCCATTCGGGTTCCACTCGAGCGCTGGTCTGACGCTCAACGTCACCCAACGGTTTCCTCACCGTGTGTCCAATCCATCTCGATTTCCTTCGGAATATTTATTGACCAATAGGTATTTGATTGGTTCGTTCCCATACTTTCTTGTTACTAATTGTCTCTGGACATCTGGTCTACAATACGGAGACAGTAAAGGCAGCTGTTGATAAAAGTTTTCAACCTGTTGAGAATGCTCGCCGTAACAAGCCAAGTCTCCGACCCATGTCGAAGAACTGACTGACCTAACATTGGTGTTGAAAATCCGAATCTTGTTGTTTATGCTGGGTGTGGAAGATCTCCGAACTGATTTCAGAGTGACGAAGGTGTGTCTTGCCTTTAAGATTCCAGTTTCGACATCCTCATTCGTTCCGTGTTCAGTTGAAACGATGCTGCCCATATAAGTGAAAGAGTTCACCTCTTCCAAATTTCTCTCGTCAGTTCTGACTGGTGCCTGTTATTGATAGTGGTGGGTTATCTTCATCACCTCTGCCTCCCCTGTGTTCACTTGAAGTTCTGACTTTGATACTTCTTCTGCCAACTTTTTGGTATGGGCCTGTGGGTCTTCTGGTTTTGTGTCACCTTGTTCAGCATAATCCACTCCACTACAATTAGAAATATCATCAGTGATAATAGGCAGCCGTGTCTAATTCCCGCCTCGTTGAGTTATCCGTTGTGTGCCACTTGACATGTGGTATTGTCATATAGTTGTTGAATGAGTTTGATGAAGATTTGGGCGTTGTACTCCGTAGTGTTGAAGTAGTTTCCAAATTACTTTGTGGTCAACGGTGTTGAAGGCCTTTCCAAAGTCAATGAAGTTGATGTAGAGGTTAGACTGTCATTCCATACTCTGTTCGATGTTGATGAGGATGATATGTGTAGTTGCAATTTGATCCGCACATGATTTGCCTTTTCTGAGTGCAATTGTCGGTCTGCAGTTATTTGATTGGTTTCAGGATTTCGTCATGAGCAGGTTGGTTGTGAGGACCAATATTCGTGGAAGACATTGGCCATTGGTAGCGATGAAGTTGGGATTCATAGGCCAATGAATCGCGTCCCAGTGACTTAATGGTTTACGGACTCGCCTTGTGACCCGGAGTTTCCGGATATCATTATGGACCGTTATAAGAGCTCACAGTTTTATTAGCAGATCTTGCAAAGTAATGCTAGTAAACATATTTGGTAAGACTTCAGATGTATTTTTTACACCTGTCGGTATTCATACACAGATCGAACACAAATAAAAGTTTACTTCCCAGCTGGAAAAATTAAAAAAGACCTCAGAGAGAGGTTTGAAACATGAAATTAGAAAAATACTATTAAACTTAAGGAAACAATTTTAGTGTATGTCCATTATAGATAGATCAGTATGCTTAAATAATGAGAATATATTAAACAATAAGCATTAAGAAATAGACATCCACTGTTTTGTTGCAAATGTACAAAGCCTGGTTGATTCGCTTCGGATATAAACTCAGCTTCAGTAAATGTGTGTTGTGTGTCTTATGCTGCGAAAATTATGGGGTTAACATGAAAATATGATGCATGTATTTCATTCACTTTCTATGTTCTTCTAATTAACTGTCATTTTCTTATCCTACTTAATTGAGCGGGTCATTTTGTCAGTCAGAAAAGGTGATTTGCTCAAAACTGTAGAATTGATGTCAAGAGGTGATATCAAAAATAACAATAACGTAGGGGAAGACAAAGTAAGGTGAAATGAACTTCAACGACAAAAAACAACAAAGGAACATCATTATGAGCAAGTTAAAGAAAGGGTCTAACAAGACTTTTATGCATCAATGCCTATTGATTTGTCTGTACATAAGTGGTGAAAAAGTAAACTTTTGGAGTGACCTAATTTACGCTTATGGAAAACCCTAAAAGATAAGTTGTTTGGGGCTGAGTGATATAACACAAGGTGTGCACAGGCAGAAGGCTTATTTACTCTTTTATCAACCAAACTGGATAGTTTTCAGCTACACGTATCCGGAAAAGACGCTCATGACATCTAATGTAATCAGCTCCACAGGATACGGTGAGAGAGAAGACGCACTTAGAGGATTTAGGAAATAAGGGAGACTACGTTTACGTGAAGTATGATATTTACTAACTCAAGTTCTTATACCCATAACTCCTACATTATTTATTCTGACTAAACCAGAGGCAAAACAAAATGCCAGATTGATCGTCCAAAATACCAAATATATTTCGAGATCAGAATTGTAGTGAGAGGATGATTGCCTAACCAGCTAGGGATCGTGCACGAAAGTAACACGGCACCATGTCAAATAGGGTGGATGCTTAACCCTGAGTCTTGAACATAGCGATTCATCTTAAACAGTAAAGGTCAGTACCTAGTGTTTAGCGATGAATGATGTAGGTTAATAATTTTGGGGAATTACTTTCTGCTACGATGACATAAGCAGTAGTTTGTCCTTCACACATTGTCGAAACATATTTCGAGTCGAGAATACCACGTGTAGGTCGGCTGCATAAAAAGAGAGTTCAGTACACTTGGGTAGCAATCGTGTCGCCACTGAAAAAACAGCAACTGGACCTAAGTCGCTCTGTGACGCTACGGTCAGAGTAACTTACACTGTACCCTACAGATATGTAGTTGCACTACTTTCCATTATTTAATGTATAAAGCCGTAC